CCCTGCTGATTCTATACACACAAACCAGGGCTCACTCCCATGAAGAGCTGCAGTGTGTGTATGAGTCCCAAAACCAGGATTCAATCCTTATCATTAAGTTCTGGGTTCAGCAGTAGCAGTCATTTTTCTCCTTCTTAGTATCTAGAGCAGTGCTGTGGTTTTGACTTGCGGCCTGGGAACAGCACTGATAACACCGATGTTTTTAGTTACTGCTCAGTAATGTTTAGTCTGACCAAGGACTTTCTGAGCCTCCTGCTCTGCCAGGGAGGAGGGGAAGCTGGGAGGAAGCAGAGACAGGACACCTGACCCAAACTGACCAAAGAGGTATTCCATACCACAGCACGTCATGCCCACTGTATAAACTGGGGGCAGTTACCCGGAAGGGTGAGATCACTGGGTATGGGCCACCTGGTGATGGGGTGTTGTATTCTCTTCCCTTGTTATTTCCCTTATCATTATTATTATTGGTGGTAGCAGTAGTGGTTTGTGTTATCCCTTAGTTACTGGACTGCTCTTATCTCAACCCATTGGAGTTACATCCTTTTGATTCTTCTCCCCATCCCTCCAGGAGCAAGAGGAAGAAGAGGGGGGAGTGAGCGAGGGCTGTGTGGCTGAGCTGCCAACTGGGCTTAAACCATGACACATTACAAACATCTTATTCCCCATGAAGAGGGAATTCAATGCCAGGTCTGGGTCTGACCGACCCTGCTGTTCCTACCATTATTTGCATTTAATAGGAAGTAAATCTGGTCACAATAAATCTGACACAGTTCCCTCCTCCCATTCCTTCTTGCAGGGGTATCTAAAGCCAGAGAGACAGCCGCTGAAGCTGCTGTTATCTCTGCTCAGCAGTTCCCAGCTGGCTGATGTGACCCTTAATCTGAGCTAATCAGCACTACCTCATCCTTTCAGATGGGACTTGCATCCCTCCTCCTGCTCCACGATGCTATCGTCTCCTGCCAGCTGCACAGCTAAATGCAAAGACAGCTTCAGCATCTCCAGGGGCTGGAGAATAGTGATTTGCTGCCACATTCATGCTGGGAAGTTGGTTTTTTTTCAGCTCTATGAATTGAAAAGAATGATTACCATATGAGTAAAAAGATTCATTAGAGACAGCACATGCATTGGGATTGAAGTGGTTGGGCAAGAAGGAAAAGGAATAGATGAACCATCACAGGCCAGGGGGATGTCATGGGGCAAGAGGTGCATTGCTGGAGGTCAAGCCTGTATGTGACAAGATAAAATCAGAGAAGGAAGGTTTGGGCTTAAGAGAGGTAAAAACACAGCATGAGTGAGAGGATGAAGTAGTTTCTATGACCAAGTAGATGGCAAGTCAATGGTGGTCTTAAAACTGGCGGCCATCTGGGTCTGTGGAAGTCACTGGTGGGCTTAGCCCAAGCCAGGCCATGGCAAAGCAATGGGGAACTGTTGTTATCTCCAATGAGTAAGCCTGGAGTAAGCCTCCTGCCTGAATGCAGCTATCGCAGCCTTGCACTATGCATGGAGAAGTGGGTGGTGAGAAATGTTCCCTAGGGTGCCCACAGCAAAGCACTGGTGGCTTGCACCTCCTGCCAAAGCACAGACTAGCGACTGCTCCATGGTGCCTCAGTAGACCCGAGCTGGAAGCAGATGGTTTGGCTCTACACAACAGCAGGCTCAAACTTGCTTTAAGACAAATGTTAAAATTATCACAAAATTAAAACTGTGATGAAATTATTTAAGACAAGTGTTTCATTTCTCACAGTTCCCAAGAGGGTGATTATTTGGGTAGAACTAAAGCATCTCCTTCAAAAATGCCTCTAGCCTTGATGTAAAGGACTTGCAGGGTACGAAAGAGGCTTCATCCTAAAAGAAACCTTTTCCAACTAAAGGTAGGTACTTTAAAGTGGTCATTAAGGTCTCTCTCCAGCCCATTTTGCTCCGAGAGACATACCTAAAGCAAACGGCTTGACTCGCTCTTTAAAGGGATCCCTTTTCCATAGTGACTTTGGAGGAAGTTCCAGCTTCTATCTCTTCGGAGTACACTGAACATCCCAATGGCTGAAAGCTGAAGCTTATGAACCTCAGCTCAGGCACACAAACACCTATTTAGATTTACATGGCTTGACCTTCCCATGGTTGGATTTTGCTTGCTGGGGAGCTAAATGGCCCAGCAGTGTCTGTGAAGGTACTCATGGTCATGACATTCATGGCCAGACTTGGTATCAAATGTGGCTGTGCCTTCTTTCTGCTAAATATCATGATGTAATTCCACTCCTGAATAATTCTTATGGCTCTACTCTGCTCCTCCCAGTTTCCACATGCTCCAGCAAGTGATCTAGAAGTGTTCAAGGCCAGGTTGAATGGGGCTTAGAGCAACCTGCTCTAGTGGAAGGTTTCCCTGCACATGGCAGGGCATTGGAACTGGATGAGCTTTAAGGTCCCTTCCAACCCAAACCATTCTATGTTTCTATGATCTGCTCCCATGGTCCCTTCTCCTCTTCAATGACAGCAGTGACCCAGTGCAACCCTCTGCACCATCCTTCTGCTCACACATCCCCCTATCACATCTCTTCCAAGTGTCACACTGGGAACTACTTTAGTTGTTTCTCCACTGTAGCCACCAAACCCCCTCTGGACACTGCTTCACAGGACCTTCCTTTAGCTCTGGGTGGCATTTATTTCTTGCATGACATCTCCTTCACCATCATGAAAAAGGCATTTCTTTATGAGGCAGCAAAGTCTATGAAGCATTGCAGCTTGCTTTTCACAGCAGCCCTGTCTGCCGGGTTATTTATAACTTGTCTAGTTTGTCTGTCATGGATAAATGTTATCAGTCCCCGAGGATCTTGCTGTCTACACCACCCATGTGATTTGTGCACAGAAAGCTTTTTCTTCCCTCTGGCTCCCGTTCAAAATGCAAACGTACCCAAAATAACACAACTGCTGAGACAGGCAGCAGGAAAACCCAAAGGAATGGGGAGAGGAAGGGGTGGTTTAAATGCTGCTTGGAAGTGATCGAGTTGCTGCTTTGGAGTGCAAAATGAATCATTTATTTTGTTTTTAGAAGCTTAAATACACAAAGCTGGAATTCCTGCACATGCTTTGCAGATGATCACTACTTCCTTCTACATCTTTTGCTATACAGAGCACCCACACCAGGAATGTGCATTGCTGTAAACATGGCAAGGAGGTGCTTTACATGTAGTCTGAGGAAAGCTGTCTCACATAGAAGCAGATTGTAGGGGCAGACAGGTTCGTGCTTTGTGTACTTCTGTCACAACAAGGAAGGCAAGAATCAGCCAAGACAAATCACTTGTCATTCTCTCTGTGAATACTCTTTCTATCATGCCAAAAGAGGAGTAAGAGTTTCCCCATCCTTCAGCTGAATGGAATGATCGAAGGTTCTTCTCTTTTCTGGTGAGACCCCACTTGCAGCACTGGGTGCAGTTCTGGTGCCCTCTACATAAGAACATTGAGCTGTTGGAGCAAGTCCAGAGGAGGCCACGAGGATGCTCAGGGGCTGGAGCAGCTCCTGTATGGAGCCAGGCTGAGAACACTGGGGCTGTTGAGCCTGGAGAAGAGAAGCTGCGTGGAGACCTCAGAGCAGCTTCCAGTGTCTGAAGGGGGCTACAAGGATGCTGGGGAGGGACTCTTCATCAGGGACTGCAGTGATAGGACAAGGGGTGATGGGTTCAGACTGAAACAGGGGAAGTTCAGGTTGGGGATAAGGCAGAAGCTCTTCCCTGTGAGGGTGCTGAGGCGCTGGCACAGGGTGCCCAGAGAAGCTGTGGCTGCCCCATCCCTGGCAGTGCTCAAGGCCAGGTTGGACACAGGGGCTTGGAGCAAGCTGCTCCAGTGGAAGGGGTCCCTGCCCGTGGCAGGGGTTGGAACTGGATGAGCTTTAAGATCCTTTCCAACACCAAACATTCTACAATATGAATCATGGGTCAAGGTGGTGATAGGGGGTCCCAAGCCACACACTTTGACAGGGTGCCCATACCAAAGCAGTGAATTGCTTAAGGCACAGGGGAACAGTAAGAGAGGCAAAAATGAGGAGGAAATACGGACTGTGGTCCTCGGGAGATCAGGCTATAGGAGGATAGAGGCCTTTGGCCCTGAGGGCTATCACAGCATGGGTTGATGTGCTTTTGCTTTCTTCTGTGCCAATTTAACCAACAGAGGGAAAGATGCCAGTTTCTCCCCTTATCTCCGTTCCCATTAAACACCCCACTGTGGATGCAATTTGATTGCAATAAAATTGCCTTTTACCAGCGCAAATTTCCCTTTCTCCCCTCATGGGAATAACCTATATGAGCACTGATTCTCCTTTATATTGCTTAAAAAACACATTATGCTGCTCATGACCTGAGAAAAGTTCTTAAGGAGATTTGGGCTGCAGATTAAGGAGATTTGGGCCTTAAGGAGATTTGGGGCTGAAAACATCCAAATAGTGCACCTAGTCTGATAGCCCTGAGACTTCCCAGATGTGACTATGAAGAGCATAAGGTACATTTTATGCAGTGAAACACTGTGCTTGTCTCTTGGGCAATGGAAGAGCGTACACTTCCTAAACAGAAGAAGCTATCAGTGTGTCCCAGTACAACCAGTTTTGGTTCTTCAGCAGGGACTTCTGTTTGCCATGTACAAGTAACCTTCATATCATCACGAAGAAGAGGTGAACTTCTCAGAGTTGACAGGCGTACTAAAGAGGACCTCATAGAAACCAGCTATAGGGGGGAACAGTCAAAACCTGATTGAAGACAATTAATGGCCCTGAAAGGGGAGCATCTGGGCCAGTGGACAAAGTCATTTCCCCTACTTCAGGAAGAAGCCATTGTTGGGGTGAGGAAGGGAAGGTGCAGAGAAGCCAGCAGCCAGCCAGCAGCCTCCTATAGGGGGTACACCTCACAGTGTACAGGTAATGGGAGTTTAAGAGACCCTACTCTACAATTAGCAGTGACTTGAACAACTGTAAATGAACATTTACATGGAGCCATCCAAATTTATCATATCCAGTCTTGGAGTAAAGACAGTGACATCAAAATCTATGGTTATTCTACCTTATCAGATGCACTCAGGATCATTTCTAGACCTGAGACCAACTGGCTTGGAGCAGCACTGTGTGTATAATTAAACACTCGCCCTTCGAATTAGCTGCACATTCTGGCTCCAAGGGATTCTGTATCAAATCTGTTGAGTTTATTTTAATACTTGCTAGCATACTGCAGAGCCAAAATGAGCCAGATGCAATTCTATGGCTACCATGCTTCAGGTCTTCATGCTTCATTCCTTCATGTTAATATTCCCCCCTACTTCTGCTTTCTGAAGAAGGAACTCTTGGCTACATCATCCACTTGTCCTCTCAATGACAAAGACACAGTGAGAGAGCAACCCAACCACAAAGCATATATGAAAAGAGACAGAAATCTAGGCTTTAAGGGAATAGACCCTCATACAGCACATGCAGAATGGAGCCACTATTTAACCAGGCTTTTGGGAACAGAGTGCAGAGATTTTCTTGGAACATAGTATTGAAGTCTCAATCTCAGCTTTCCACTGTGATGGGTCTAATTCCTCATTGACATTAATGACCATTTAGATCACCACCATGGTCTGAACCAGGGTTCTACAGAGATAAATACCTGATAGCTTTAGCTAAAGGATTGGATCCTGTAACTATAATTTGTTACTGCAGCAGTCTTGGCATCAGAAAGCAGCAGTTATATGTCCTTGTAGGACTGTGCACCTCTGCTGCCAGCATAAAGGAAAGGTGTCATCTATAGCCACAAAAACCTAAGTAAAGGTCAAATTCAACAGTCAGAAGGGCTGCAAGGATGCTTGAATCCTGCTGTGGCAAGGTCTCCAATGCAGCTTCACAGAGCCCAGCACCTTTTCATCCTCTCACCTAGATCAGCATCAAAGCCATTGGCATCATCAGGCCACCATCAGGGGCTGGCTGGAGCATCTTCAGTGGCTTCTACTGCCCTTCCCCATACAAAGACGAGGGGTCTGTCGACATGCTGCATGGCCACTGTCTCAAGGGGAAGCTCTGGGTGGGAAGTGGATGCGGTTGAAGCCCTGTGGTCATCTGTTGGTGTGCTGCAGTATGGTCACACAGCCGTGGTAACTGGTACAGCGCTGCAGTGGTGGCTGCTGCTCCACACTTCCAGTCACCGGGTCGAAAGTAAATGCCTTGTCCGTGCCTTCCCCATTCTCATCCCGGCCACCCAGGATGTAGATCTTCCCTCCACACACCGTCAGGCCACAGCTCTCCTGGAAAGCAGAAGGAAAGCCCTAGAGATAAGGAGTAAGCCTCAAGATTTAGGTGATGAGGTTAAGTCATCACAATGGGCTCAAATCTCACCTGCCCAGAACAGGGGAAGGGGAAAGGGAAAAGGAAGGGAAAGGCAGTAGGATAAGTGATGTTTGGCTCTTGGGGTGCTGCAATCCTACTGTTTCAATTAAAGTTCAGGTATTTGACATGCCTCAAGACAGTGATGGGACCACTGCTGTTTCCGGGAGCCCCCCAGGGACAGCACAGACTCATAAGCACAGCAAGAGCCCAGAGGAGCATCCACCACTTCCACATCAAAGCCACTTAAAGGGGTGCACCCCATCACTGCTCTTCACTGTGCCACAGCTCACATTGCAGCATGGCCTTGGAGATCCATGTTTAGTGTCAACCATGATGACATTAAAACAAGATATACAGCCACCATGAGTGTGTGTTCAGTCCATGGACCAGACTAAAGCCAGTATAACCCTCACCCTGAAACACATAGCTCGGTCTTCAACACCAATAGTTTCACCCTACAGATACACTCATCTAGAATTAATAGCTAGTGTAGACCCAGCCTCAGCAAGAAAACTTGGGTTTGCTGTGTGAGATACCTCCTCCAAGCAGTATGGACACTGATGGTGAATACATAGAATCATAGAATCATAGAATAGTTTGGGTTGGAAAGGACCTTAAGATCATCAAGTTCCAACCCCCCTGCCATGGGCAGGGACACCTCACTCTAAACCATATTACCCAAGGCCTCCTCCAACCTGGCCTTGAACACTGCCAGGGATGGAGCATTCACAGCCTCCCTGGGCAACCCATTCCAGTGCCTCACCACATCATGAATACCTGTTCAAATATGCTAGAATTGCTCTGCACATTCACATGTTCAGAGTCGAACCCACAATGTATTTTCCTTGCCTTCAATCTCAGCAAAGCCCAAATGGCTGCTACTGTGTATAGAGAGCTTAGAGCTTCTTTCCTGATCTTCCTTACCAGAGGCCCAGGGAGGGCGGCCACTTCTCTCCAGCTGTCTTTCCTTGGGTCATAGCTGAAGATCTTACTGAGGAGTCCACCCACAACATAAATGATGTTGTCCAAGCAGACGGCGCTGATGCACCGCTGATAGAAAGGGGTGGGAGACAAGAGCGTCCACTTGTTGTCCTCTGGGTCATAACACTGGACCTGGAAGGAGAAACACAGCTCCAGGAACATGGATTTACCACATCTCCCTGCTCGGATGAAGCTGCTATTCACTAGAACAACAGGGCATAGGGACAGAAACATGGATGGGAGCTCCAGCACCCAGAGAGCAAAGGGATGGGGGGTTCTAGCATTGCTTCTTGCATCCCAGACAAATATAAGCCCCTAGAGTGGCTGTTCTCAGACTGCACACGGTTAAGTGTTCGGAGATGGAGCTTAGGGGCACTGATGGCTCTTCCTGCAGCTCAGGAGACCAGAAACACCATGTTTGGCTTGCAGAGGTCTCCTCCAGGAAGTTACTGTTGTAGCTGCTTATCTGAATGGATGTCCACACTGTTGGAGGTTTGTTCCATGGTTGCTCAGGGCTAACCAGGCTCTACTGAAACCATGCCTAATATACTCTAACTCCTGACACCTTCCCTCTCTGATCTGTAAGTCCTATTGCCTTCCATTTAAATGCATGACTTCCCATCTTTTTATAAGGGAGACTTCATTAGTCTTCTAAAAAAGGTGCCCTGGTAGGTTGGACAACCCCATTCCCTTCACATTCCCTGGCAAACCTTCTTTTCCATGTCCCCATCCATCCTTGGTGCCCCAGCAATACCTTGTCGGTGTTAGCAGTGTCATCCACAGCACCTCCCAGCACATAGAGCTTGTTGAGGCAGGAGACCACAGCCGCCGAGCTCACAGCCTGAGGCAGCGGGGCCAAGGTTGACCAAGTGTTGGAGAAGGTGTCATAGCACTCCAGGCTGGAGAGGCGGTAAAAGCCATCAAAGCCTCCCACAGCATAGATCTGCCACAAGAGGAGCAAAACAAGTGGATTAGAGACTCCTGGACTCATCTACGGGGCTATGCTGTCATGGTGTATGGGAGGAGAGACCAGGACTTGGCCAGAAAGATGGACATCAAGCCATGGTAAAACCTTGGGGTTGGACTAAATGACCTTTAAAGGTTCTTTCCACCCCAAACCATTCTATGATTCTATGAATTACCCCAAAGTGTAAAGCTTTCACCCAAAGACTTAACACAGCTGTCTGTAGAAGACTTGCACCATGATAAATATGAATGTTACAACTTCCTTTGTGGCTACATCAGGTGGCAATACACACAGAGTCCTAGTTGTGGACTACAACATGCCCTAGACTAGGACAACATCATGTCCTAGTTGTTCTCCCATCAAACCTAACTCTAAATGACCCAGAAGACAAACACACACGGACAGCTTCTCATTGTACTGGGCAGCAGGAGAAGTTGGGGTGCTCCATGTGGCTTCTTCCCAGATTCAGGCCATCACTTACCTTGCCCTGAAGAGCTGCCATTTTGTGCCTCCATCGGCCTTTCTGTAGGCAAGCAACCTTGATCCAGACGTTCAACTGGGAGCTCAGCACCCAGACATCGTTGCTGCTGATGTGTCCTCCTAAAAACAGAGGGATGGAAGGTTGGTGTGATCCCAAGGACAGCCCCATCACCTCACTACACCACAGTAGTCCTCCATGCAATGGAACAACTCAGAATGTGGTTATTGGGTTATGGCCATGTAAAATGATCTTCCAAAGAGAGATACTTTGTGGACTTCAAGGCATTTGTTATACAGATCCATCCTTTACATAGAGCTCATCTGATAGGCATTATATTTAAGTGAGGCAGGAGACTGATGTTTTAGGAAGTTTGGCACACACCAAAACCAGCTAAACACTCTTGATAGGTCCCCAACAGGAGGGAAAGGTTTTGTTCATACTGCCATCCTCCAACTCAAAAGTGATATTGTTCCTTTGGATATAATCCAAACCACCTAAGGATAAACCTCACCAAGAAGTGGCTTTTCTCCAAAGCTGGATGCGTGTGAATGAGTCCGAGTGAATAGACCTAAGGAGCAGCGTCCAAGCAAAGGTGCAACCAGGAAAGGACCATTTGGTCCAGAGTGTCTCACCTGATATGTAAACATCATTCTTCAGTGTGCAGGCAGCAAACTCTGACTTGGTGTAGCCAGGCACGCTGGAGAGTGCTGTCCACTGCCTGCTCTTTGGGTGGTAGAGGTCAGTGAAGGGCAGCTTCAGAAGCCCTTTCTTATCACAGCCACCAATGACAATGATGACTTCTGACAGCTCCATGAACCTAGACCACGAAAGGCATGGGTAAGTTTCTGGACCAGATCTTTCCATCATCCCTCCCTTTCCATCATCCTATCCAGGACACTGGTGGCACAGACAGAGCAAGATCCTCTCCTGTATCAACTACTGATTTTCTGGGCAAATCATTTCACCACTGCATCTTCCCTTTTATCTGCATGACAAGATCAAAGGCTTAGGTTGGAAGAGGTCCAAACTGCATAGGGGAAGAAAACGGGATTGACCTTTAAAAGCCCCTCATGAGATTGCCCCCTGCCACTCACCCTCCCCTTTCCAGCAGAATCCAACCTAGTAATCTTCAAGGCACAGCCACAGGCATGGAAAGCCATTCCTGGCATCTTGCCTGGGCAAGCTCTCTGCCCAGAGAGAGAATGCTTCCAAGAAATCTTAATCTCTCCCCAGCTCTAACAGCAGTGAGCAGAGAAGGCAGACATGAGAGGAAGGGAAATCCTGCCATTAGTAGGTGGCAAGAGAGAACGGTTCTGCAGGAGAGGAGGGAGAAGAAGGAGGAGGATGAAAGAGGATTTGAAAGACTTGGAGCAATTCCCATCTCTGCCCTGGTTTGTGCAGGTTGAGGCAATTCCCTTGAGACTGAAGCTGTGGAAGGAGGGAGGTAAAAAGTGGATGCTGTGGGGTAGGATTTATCCACAGGGGATTTTAGCTGTTTGCATCCTTAAGGATGCAGTGACCCTGTTGTTGAGCAATTTTGTATATTATAGAATCCCAGACTGGTTTGGATTGAAGGGACCTTAAAGCTCCTCCAGTTCCAACCCCTGCCATGGGCAGGGACACCTTCCACTAGAGCAGCTCACACCGAGCACCATCCAATCTGGCCTTGAGCTTGTTCTGGTATTAGGCACAGGGAACATGTGTCAAACCACCTCTTCCACCTGCCAGAAATGTGCTCTAAATGCCAGACTGGGGCTTCTGAGGTGCACTGGGGCAATCTCCATCCTTCTGCCCAGGATGCTTCACTGAGCGACATAAAACCCTGCACTCCTTGGGCTGAAGAGCAGGAGAGCACAGGAAACTGGCCCTGTAGCTCCGTGATCATGGGTGTCCTCTGGAAAAGCATAGGAAGCCTCACAAACCAACTTGGTTTGATATGACAACCCATCCCAGAGCAGAGGTGTCCATCACCATCCTTACCAAGCACATCATAAGGAACCTGCAGCACCATGAAGAAACAACAGAGACCTAAACTGTGGCTAGTCAAGTCCAAACTAAATAGTCACTAAAATGTACTGATTTCTACACACACACAGTGTTAAATCACTTTTCTCTGCCTCCCCCACTTTACACTGGCAGCTGCCTGGGGCAGCATCTCTTTATCTTCTTGATGCTCATCAATAAATCAATGCAAAGAACAATAGTTTGGGAACATCTCGGACAGTAACTGATTTTGATCCCTGGACGTTAGTTCCTGACCCTGTAGCAATGCCCTTGAGTGAGGCACCATGCTGATAGCCAGAAGGACTGGTGTGGCCCGAGCCTTCCTGCAGCATGGAGAAGGTGGGAGAGAAACCAAAAGAGGTGAAATAAGAGGAGAGCTGGGAATGGGAAACAGGTCTCAACCCAATGCTCTACCCATTGGTGACAGCAGATCAAGAGCTAAAAACAGCCCTTCCTCTCCACAGCCTGAACAGACACCTGGATAGCATCATTGCACACCCAGAGCAGTGTAACTAGAAACCTCCTTGTCCCCCAGAAAGTGCCACATGCATTATTATAATTCATAGGAATCCTTAAAGCCAGGCAAATATCTCCAATGCCTTCATTTTGGAAGCAGGGAAACCAAAGTGCTGAGGCACTGGAATGGGTTGCCCGGGGAGGTTGTGAATGCTCCATCCCTGGCAGTGTTCAAGGCCAGGTTGGACAGAGCCTTGGGTGCCATGGTTTAGTGTGAGGTGTCCCTGCCCATGGCAAGCGGGTTCAAGCTGAGTGATATTAAGGTCCTTTCCAACCCAAACCATTCTATGATTCTATTCTGTGATTCTAAACAAGAAGCAATCAGACGAAAAAGAAGATAGCACAACCCAAGAACTCCCCTCAGACTTTAAGATCCATCAGCTGAGGCCATGCTGGTTTAGGGAAGATGATGCTGAGTTTTACCTTCTGGGTCTTGATCGCACCGAGCTGACCTCGTTCCCCAGGATGTAGTACTTGCGGGCCTCATGCAGTAGAGGAATGCACTCCTTAGAGTCCTGGATGAGCCCATCCATTTCCACCTTCTCCAGGAAGTAGGTGGGGTTGAGGAGGGGCAGGCGTACATGTTCAAGGAGGTCCTTCAAGGCTCCCTTCCTGGCAGGTACATCGTGCTGTACCCAGCGCATGACTGCCTCAAAGACCACTTCCTCCTTGGGGACCACCAGCTCCTCATCAGACAGATACTCAACCAGCTCCTTCACATCCATCTCCAGGAACTCCTCATGGCACGACACCTCCACAAAACACTCGAGCATGAACCTCTTGCTCTTCTCTGTCAGAGAAGCAATGGAGAACGAATCGGCAAACTTCATGATGCCCAAGCAATTGCATGGGTGAAGCTGGCCTTCGAGGAAGGTGACACAGGCATCTCTGAGCTTGGAGATCTGCAGCAAGTCAGACAGTTCCAAGATGCTTTCGACATTGTCCTCCTGAATGATGATGCTGCCCCCATACATATAATCAAGAAGGAGAGACATAGTGGAAGCAGGTATCTTCTGGATATTAATGATATCCTGGTGGCCTTCCTTGAGGTTGCCACCAAACATGGCCCTGAAGTAGGTGCTGTTGGCTGACAAAGTGGCACGGTGGCAGGGGAACTCTTGTCCATCAATTAACAGCACCACATCAGTGAAGATGCCACTTTGCCTGTAGGAGTTGAGTGTCTGGAGGATCTGCTCGGCGTGGCAGGACCCACTGCAGAGCTTCATGTGCAGCTTTTCTTTGCTTGGGTCCCGCGTCACTTTCTCCAGGCTGCTTGTCCTGAAACTTGATTCTTCTTTCATCATTCGATGCATCCTGGTGGGGAAGCAGGGGAGGAGACACAAGAACAGGGCACTATTAAAACACCTGAGTGAGATGTCAGGTCAACCAGGTCCAGTAAAATGGGGTTTGAACCTGCTCTAGTGGAAGGTGTCCCTGCCTGTGGCAGGGGGTTGGAACTGGATGAGATTTAAGATCCCTTCAACCCGAACCATTCCATGTTACTATGATGTTCAACACCGGAATCCCAAACTGGTTTGTGTTGGAAGGGACCTTAAAGCTCCTCCAGTTCTAACCTGCCACAGGCAGGGACACTTTCCACTGGAGCAGCTTGCTCCAAGCCCCTGTGTCCAACCTGGCCTTGAACACTGCCAGGGATGGGGCAGCCACAGCTTCTCTGGGCACCCTGTGCCAGTGCCTCAGCACCCTCATAGGGAAGAGCTTCTGCCTAAGATCCAACCTGAACTTCCCCTGTTTCAGTCTGAACCCATCACCCCTTGTCCTATCACTGCAGTCCCTGATGAAGAGTCCCTCCCCAGCATCCTTATAGGCCCCCTTCACACACTGGAAGCTGCTCTGAGGTCTCCACGCAGCTTCTCTTCTCCAGGCTCAGCAGCCCCAATGTTCTCAGCCTGTTTCCATATGGGAGCTGCTCCAGCATTTATTTATGTCGAAGGAGCACAGCAGTGCCACAGCTCATGTTGTAAAACCATGACAGAGTCAGCACCACTCATTAAGTGAAGAGGGGTGCCAGTGAGGACCATCAGAGCACACCTGATCACAGCTCCTACCATGGCCATGGAGGTTTTGGACTGCTTTTCTGAGGCTCTGTAACAGCAAAGAGACATTTGGGGGGTGTTCAGGCTCTGCTCCTAAGGACCCCTTAAGTCAGGCTCTGGAGCATCTCACCACGAGCCTCTGGCAGGAGCATGAGTCCCCATTGCGGTGACAAGGTGCTGGACATCAATGGTGTTCATACACTCCCCTGCAGGAAGGCAGGCAGCACAGCCCTTGAGGAGGATTACATTGCAGTTCTCATCAGCCAAACCCCCTCTCTTAGCTCTACTCCTTCATCTCTTTCCTAAACCTGCATTTCCCATTGAGCCTTTGCATCTGACCACAGACCCCAAAGATGCTCAGATTGGCTCCAGAGGACACCTCCTGTCTGTGTGTGGAACAACCAAACCTGGTCCTGAGGATCTTCACCCCACCATATCCCTTGTGCCTCCAGCATCCCCCAGCAGTGGGAAAACACCTCTGCCAATACCATAGGGATGCTGCAGAGACCTAAAGAGCAGTGAAGCAGAGTGACAACCCCTAATGAAATGTCTAAGGAATCCCATGGGAGTGGGTGAAGGCTCTAAACATCCCAAACTCTTCTTATGGATGCTCAGGCCTGCATAAGGAAGGGACCAGCTGATGGTTGGTTCAAAGTGCTTTAGAGAAGTCACAACAAAGGCAAGTCTCCAGAGATGCCTTTGCAAAGAGTGGGATGGACTCCACATTTCCTAACACATGCAGCTCCAACCAGGATAGAAGCAAACATTGCTATCCCCACTTCTGTCCCTGATCCGCACACATTCCAATCCATCTGGTCACGCATAGCTCCATGCTGGGAAGAAGCAGCTTAAGTTTACAAAGAGACATTCCCCCCTTCCCTCCCCAGCTAATCCAAATGCTTTTTCCCAGCTCACATCCCTCCAGCCTACCCATGAGAGAGATGATGCCAGCGCCAAAGAGTGGGTTTACCCCTTCACCATCACCCATATTCCTCTTTAGGACACCCTCCCCATCCGAGTAATACACACAAGCAAATCCTGCATCGCTTACATATGTGTATATATATATATACACACACTTTGCAAGTCTCCCCAGTGCAAGAAGTCCAGTATTACCTTGCTCACAAGTTGAGTTCTCCAGGTCGGACCTAGCAAAGACTCAACTTCACTCTTGGAGCGCTCCCATCCGCATTAGGACTCTGAACAGAGCCAGGTCCCCTCCGCAAAGCACACTGAGCCCTTCTGCAGGGGAAGCACAAAAGCATCCCCTTTATCCTGACTGCTGAGAGCTGCTTTTGTTTCTCCTGAATGACATGGCAGACAGCTACAGGGCATTAGCCATGCATCTGTCAGTAACAGCCAGGCAGGGAGGAGCCAGGATGCAGGGAAAACCCATCCCAGAGCAGGGAAAATACATTACACCAGGGCAGCTTAAGCGGGGCTGAGCCATCTGGAGAACACATTGAGGTCCAGGTGGAGCGATTCATTGGATAGAGGCTCCGTCTCACTTGGAAACCTCACTAAAGATGATAAAATACGGCTCTATGAGCAAAAGGGCTCCTGGAGCAGGAACGGAGCGGCTCAGGGAGGAGCTGCAGTGCCCCTCATTAACGTAGTGTAATTAGGTCCTTGAGGATGATGAGAGCAGAAGGGGAGGTTGGTCCCAGGTGGTTTTCTGCACCCTCCCCTCTAACTCCATCCCATTTTGAAGCGCCCATAGAAGGGATCAAAGCAGCCCTGGGGAAGCTCCACGCAGTAACCCTTGTCAGCTCTAAGGTGATGCAGCCAGCCCTCCCTCCCCTGCCCAGCATCACTTGGAACACCCTGTAGTATTTCTCACTAGATAGAAGAGAAACACTAACAATAACCAGCCCCTGCACGTTGCACCCCACCGAAATCACCACCATCACATTTGCTTGCTGGCTCCTTTCTGCTCTTCTCCCATCGCTGGGATGCAGGGCACAAGCTGGCATCCTGCTTGCTCCCACCATTTGCATATGAATCACTGGCAACCTGGAAAGGACTGAGGTTTCCCAGCATGTGCAGAGGGCTGGGAGGATTGGGGCATTTGTTCTTAGCACCTTCCACCCTGATAGAGCTGGCACTGCGACCCTGTCTGTGCTTGGATGCGGATAGAGATGACCAGGACCCAGTGGGGCAGCACAACACTGATCCTGCCCTATGGGGCACAACAAAAAGGTGTCCAGAGGGTTGGAATCTCTTTGGCAAGGTTGCAAAGCTATCACCTCCTTGCAGCCATAAAGCATGGGCTACCAACCCCAGCTTCAAGCAGTATATGCACCCCAAGGATGGGGGGAACTGGCTACTGAGAGCTGCAAACACACAGTTCCCACAATGAGAAGGTTTTGCAGGGTGCAGATGCCCCCATGACCATGCCAAGCTGCTTATGGAGGAGATTTCTACAGCCAGATTGCAGTGCAGTTGGCCCTGGGTAACCCCATGTGTGCCCAAAGTGGTTGTCACTATGCAAAGGCTGTGCTGCACCCATATTTGTGGCCTTTTGATGTGGAATAAAAAGCATTAAATACCTCATAGCTGCAGGACATAGGAGGGATAAAAAGATGCTAGGGATGAAAGGGATGTTGGCCAACATCAGGGGAAGGACACCTTATACAGGGGCAGGGCTTGACCTCTCCTTTCCTCCCAGTGCTCTGGGCCTTGTCTCCAGGTAGACACAGACACCAGAAGCAGTGACCTTACAGTGAATTAGGACTCTAAAATCCTTTATTCGCATTGAAAAACCTCAGCCCCTGGCACATAGGAGCCAAAAGGCAGAAAGCCAGGAGAACTAAAGAGGTGCAAACAGGAATTGCAAGGATGCAAGACCAGGAGCTCCAGGCATCTGCTGGGGAAAGCTCTGTGTGAATGTAGGACCGAAGCTGCCCAAAGGAGCAGTGTGCATGTATGAGGAGAAAGCAATAGGAAGGAGAAGGATCGCAGAATCAACCAGGTTGGAAAAGACCTTTAAGATCACCAACTCCAACTGTTTCCCAGCACTGCCAAGGCCACCACTAACCCATGGCACTAGCCTATCACTAGATTCAGTTTTAAGCATGAATACCCAACAGGGTGCACTAATACAGTTGCCCTGTGGTGCCATTTTGTTATTCCAATCTTCCTGAATTATTTCTAGACTGGTTTGGGTTGGAAGGGACCTTAAAGCTCATCCAGTTCCAACCCTTGCCATGGGCAGGGACACCTTCCACTGGAGCAGCTTGCTCTAAGCCCTGCTTTTATTCCAGTAATAAGCATCCATTTAAGCCTAATCTCAGTACTTCAGGGGAAAACAGCTTCATTTTTAACTGACAATGCTCTACCACAAAGAAAAAAAATGACTTTAACTACAGGAGAGCAGTGTTAAATGGGTAAGCAAAATAATTACACAAATGGAAATTATAAAGAGAGTAATTTCAAGATGTCCAACTGTGATACAGCTAAGCTGAAAACAAGGAAAAAGGAATGGCAAAGATAAGAGGAAATATAGAGTTTGGGGTAAATCAAGTAAAGGATGCTATGGAATCGTCTTGATGGAGATGAACAGGCTGTGGTCTGTACCTACCCACCACATGCCCAAGAGAAGGAAGCACAACCTATCCAGGATAGCTGTCTGTGCATTCCTGGCATCATCATCCAAGGCTCCACCTTCCATGGAGAGAGTCAGGAGACCCTCTTCTGACCATCAGCCAGGCAGCAGGAGTGAAAGGCAGGCACCAGTCTCCAGGGGAAGATAGTGAAGCAGGACAGCCACAGTAGATGAGTAAGGGCAGAGAATTAACTAGAACAGAAACAGGGTCCAGAAGGAAAGCAGGAAGAAAACAAGAGGTTTAAGAGAGGGAAAAAGCCCAACTTAGTTTCCTATTTCACCTGCAGTCAATACTTACACCGAAGTTGAAACCTGGTCAGGAGCTTCAGCCAAGAAGAGGTTGCTTGAACCGAGAGTCCAGAAGAGGAACCAGCCTCCAGCCTCCTGCTGCTGCTCACATCACGACTAGACGTTTCACGTTGCATTTGAACTTTGAAAGCTCCTACCCACTGCATCATATGAAGGTTTTAGCAGAGATGGGATCATAGAATGATTAGAGCAGAAATAGAATGGGTTGGGTTGGAAAGGACCTTAAGATCATCCAGCTCCAACCGCTGCCATGGGCAGGGACCCCTTCCACTGGAGCAGCTTGCTCCAAGCCCCTGTGTCCAACCTGGCCTTGAGCACTGCCAGGGATGGGGCAGCCACAGCTTCTCTGGGCACCCTGTGCCAGCGCCTCAGCACCCTCACAGGGAAGAACTCCTTCCTTCTATCCAACCTGAACTTCCCCTGTTCCAGTTTTAACCCATCACCCCTTGTCCTATCACTACAGTCCCTAATGAAGAGTCCCTCTCCAGCATCCTTGCAGCCCCCTTCAGACACTGGAAGCTGCTCTGAGGTCTCCACGCATCTTCTCCAGGCTCAACAGCCCCAATGTTCTCAGCCTGTCTTCCTGTAGATAATATATTCATAAGATATATATATATATATATTCATAAGATCCTTCTGATGCCATATAACTGTGTATGCCTAGGGTATGGTCACATCAGCATCACTACGCAGACCCCAGCACTGCAACTGCCAAATGTAAAGGGCTGGAAGGGTTCCCAGACACCACGGGAACTATCCCAGCTGTACCACTAAGCTCTAACAAATAAGGACAGGTTCAGAAAGGAAGAAAAAGAGTTAAAGAGCACAATGTTGGCTGTCCCATTCCATGTGGGCTTCAAGCCAGCAACCAATCCTCAGCTCCTTTATTTGAGTAGCAGACACAGTTTACACGCCTCTCATTCCCCTCCTTTCACCTTCTCAGTATCTTTCCCTAGGGTACAGCAACCACAGTCCGCAGTTAGGGATTACTCAATAGTGGTGATATCAGGAGCTCTACCTCTTCCCCTAGGGCACTTTCATATGTAAAACCCCAATGATAGCCCCAAAGCCAGTCAAATTCCTGACACACTACTGAGTACCCATCACCAACCAGGGAGATAGCTGAAAGGGATTAAGGCAAATCCAAGCCTATCTGTCAAACGCAGCCATTGAGGGGCTGGAGAAAACACATGCTTAACAAAGAACAACCCCACACTGACCCAGACATGATCCTCTTCACACCCAAAGCACCCTCTGCGTGCAGCTGGGAGCAGATACTGGGGAAAGAATAGGCCAAAGAGAGCAAAAGTTCCCTTAATATCCATGATTACCAAAGAACTGCTCAGGGAATCCCCAAGCAGGGCCATGCATCCGGACTCCTGTGTTTTGTAAGTGCTAATGGATGTATGAGCCATTTACTGCGCCATGAACTTGCTTATGGCTTGTGGCTCTCACTGCACCCTAGGGCCACGACGTACATAATGTGTGTTAGAAATAAACTGCTTCCCATTTTTAAGCCATTTTGGGGTTTAAAACTGCTGTCTGATGGGTTCGGTGGGTGCATCATTGTCCCCATGTGGCCACAGACACCGAAAAGTTAGTCTATATTTACTGTTCACAGCTCAGGTCTGCAGATGTCTCCTCTCTACGTGACTGCTTTACAGTTACTGTCTTAAAGAACTGGAATGGGAGAGAACCAGAGAAACAGTGGACAGCTTGGGTTGAACGGACCTTAAAGCTCCTCCAGCTCCAGCCCAATGCCACGGGCAGGGACCCCTTCCACTGGAGCAGCTTGCTCCAAGCCCCTGTGTCCAACCTGGCCTTGAGCACTGCCAGGGATGGGGCAGCCACAGCTTCTCTGGGCACCCTGTGCCAGCGCCTCAGCACCCTCACAGGGAAGAGCTTCTGCCTAAGAGCTCAGCTCAGTCTCCCCTCGGGCAGGTTCAAGCCATTCCCCTTGGCCTGGCCCTACAGGCCCTTGTCCCAAGCCCCTCTCCTCTTTCCTGCAGCCCCTTTAGGCACTGGAGCTGCTCTAAGGTCTCCCCTTCACACAGCAGAGGGGCAGGATCCCCTCCCTGAGCTGCTGCTCACGCTCTGGGGGTGCAGCCCAGCACATGGGGGGGTTCTGGGCTCAAGCACACACTGAAGCCGGGTCATGGGGGGCTTCTCTTCACCCAACAGCCCAAGTCTTTCTCCTTAGGGCTGCTCTCAGTTCCTTCATCCCAGAGCCTGGAGGGATAGCAGGGTTTGCCAGGTGCAGGACGCTGCACTTGGCCTTGTTGAACCTCATGAGGTTCATGTGGATCCATTTCTCGAGCTCGTCCAGGTCCATCTGGATGCGATCCAGTTCCTCAGGCACGTGAATTGCACCGCTCAGCTCTGATCCATCAGGAAGAGATGCACTATAACTGTACCACTCATGGTGCATCGCCACCCCTCCCCTTTATGAAGGTCTCATGAAGCAGAACCAACAGCACGAAGATCAAGGCATCACCATGTTACAAACGATCCCAGAACACAAAACATCACCACAGGCTGGCAGGGGAATACTGACAGTTTATTTCACAGAGCATCGCAGGGTTTATTTTGGTCTAGCTCTATTTTCATCCCAAAAGTATCATCCTTTTTCTGTTAAAAAAAGAAAAGGTAGCAAATACTGAGGATGATAATGGCCACAGTCAGTGCATCACGCATGAAGTTTGGGTCTTGCCCTTAGAATAAGGAAAGAAACCAGTGAATTTAAGTCTTTGTTGGATTGCTTTTAACACTTCCAAGCTTTGAAGCACTTCTCAATAACATCACCTTCAAGGATAAAAACAGAACATGCAGGTGATTATCAACAGATGCTGAGATTGAACATCTCTCACTTGGCAATGACAATCCACCGGGAATGTTTCAGACAGCACCACATTAAAGGGAGAAGCAGCTTTGTTCTCAACCACCTTCAAAGCCACCAAAACCTTGCAGTCCTGCATCAGAAAACCACACTGGTTTTCAGAGTACCATAGAGAAGGAAGGTATTTGAGGAAAGGAAGAGCATGGGCCAGGGTCTTACTCCACTTACATTCATGTAAACCCAGGGGAGATGCAAGAGAATCAAAGTCTTGATTTCCACTGCTTATTAAAGCATCACAATCCATATTTATCCATTATCTATAGGGGTATTTTTCTTTTACATAGGTAAGTTGGCCACTTTTTCCCCCAATTCTTACACAGCAAACCCAAGACGTCAAGGTTTCAAAATGCTACTTGAATACAGCTTAAGGTAGAGCAGTTCAGTGCTGCCAAAACTGCTCAAAGCTGCTTTTATTGTGGCTTATTCTTGCCCCTTCCAAGCCTGTTTTGGGTATCAAACATGATGCACATCAGCATCCCCAAGACCACCTTCTCCTCTGCAAGGTGACTTCTCCCAGCTTGGCCAGCACCCGAAGGCTCAGCTCCCATTTCCCCCATGGTGAATGGCATTGATGGTCCCATTGTTTTCAAGGCAGATCACGTCAAGCTTCAAAGGAAGCTTGACCTCAAGTGGGAATTCTCACGTTGCTTCGACCGAGATCCAGCGAGGAAGGAAGCAACCCAAGACCAAAAGGCCACGGGGACTGAGCCAAGACCCATTCACAGCTCTAGCAGCCTTCCAGCTGGCTTCAGCTGCCTTGGGAACCGGCTCTGTGTGAACAGCAAAGTGACCCAAAAACAGGCTCTTCTCCATGAGGACTTGAAGGTCTCCAAGAGCTGAAGCTGCCCTTGAGCTGTTTCAGAGAGGGGATAAAATTCAGTTGTCATTTACTTGGTTTCTAAGGTTTTCTTTTAACCTCTAGTTTAGTTTGGTTTAAAGCCTTTTGCATTGGAAACATGCTGATGAGAGCTCTCACCTTCCTGAGCCTGTCAGCATCTGCTGCAAGACCATCGCTCCTTTGGAGGACAAGAACATGCAGCTCTAAAGATCCTGCTTGTAAAGCAAGGAGGAAAGGTCTCCTTGCAGGAGTAAGTTACATTCTGGGGCTGCTTCATCTTCCAAACAGCTCCTTCATCCATGGGCATCTCCTTGGCCTGGAGAAGGGGAAGCTCGCACTGCACCGTCACCTCCTATTCCTATATGGGTGCAAGGACAGGGAAGCAAGGAGCGACTGCAGATGCCACTTGGAGTGGCAGGCACTTTAGCCAGATCCGAGTGGTGATGATGCCCATGGCATTGCTTATTGCAAGCCATCATTGAGCATCCAGGCTTTGGGGAAAGGAGGATGGGATAAGGAGAAGGTGCCCAAGTGACTGAGCCAGTGCAACCCCTTCCCTGGCTCTGAGTGCTATCTCCTCTCCTAGGAAAGCTTCTCTCCTCCAAACAGCTTCTTGTTGCATTAGAGCTAAAACTTCATTGCCCAGGAAAGGGGGAAAGGGAAGGAAATCAAGAGAAAACCCATAACAAAACGACACTTCACAAGAACATCACAACATTCAGCTACACAGTCGCTGCACCAAGGGAAGGAAAGGAGCAGGGCAATGGGGAGAAAAGAGAGACATGTCCAACGTGCGTTTCCCAGAGCCCGTCCCCCCACCCTCCAAGAGGATTTAGGCTGTCAGGTCAAGATTCAAGGTTGAGGATTTAATGAACACGGAATTTCCACTCATGCCCTGGAAAACGTACACTCAAAACCCCAAAAAGAGAGACACAAAAATGTCCGGATTTTCTACATATTTACAAAAAAGGAGCCCCCCAACCTCACAACCAGGGAGGTGGAGCAGCGAGTGATGGGGTATGGGAAGGGATCTCTGCCCAACCAGCAGTTCCTCACAGGTTCCCATCCCGCAGCGAGCAGGAGAGCACCGCTCTCGCTGCCGGAGTGAGCACAGGGGATGCCACGCGCCAAGGGCTGGACCGGAGCCCCTCAGTTCATCCGCAGCTTGGTGGCCCGGTGGGCCGTGGGGGTGAGCATCTCGTTGGCATAGCCGTTCTCGGAGCAGAGAGACAGCTCGTCCGTGGTCTCCACGCCGTTGTTGATCTCTGGGGAGGCAATGAGGAAGCAGGGACATGGTCAGAGAGATGCAAAGCCCAGCAGGTCACACCAAGTGAGCACCGCTAGAAGGTACCCCATGGTGGTGAAAATGAGGCACTGAGCAGCGATGCTATTCCAGCACATGGGATCCATCTGATCACAGAATCATAGAATAGTTAGGCATGGAAAGGACCTTAAGATCACCAAGTTCCAACCCCCTGCCATGGGCAGGGGCACCTCACACTAAACCATGGCACCCAAGGCTTCATCCAACCTGGCCTTGAACACTGCCAGGGATGGAACGTTCACAACCTCCTTGGACAACCCATTCCAGTGCCTCACCACCCTAACAGGAAAGAATTACTTCCTTATATCCAATCTAAACTTCCCCTGTTTAAGTTTTAACCCATTACCCCTTGTCCTGTCACTACAGTTCCTTATGAAGAGTCCCTCCCCAGCATCCCTATAGGCCCCCTTCAGATACTGGAAGCTGCTATGAGGTCTCCACACAGCTTCTCTTCTCCAGGCTGAACAGCCCCAACTTTCTCAGCCTAAAATGATGCTACAGAGATTTAACCCCAGGTTTAATTACACTGCACCCATTCAAAACCAGTTCTGAACAGGGTCTGCCTCCAAATTGGAGCCTATGTCTGCATTTTCTTTACCAAAAGGGTGGACAGGCATAAGAACAGGCTTCCCAAGGAAGTGATGGAATCACCATCCCTAGAAGTGTTCAAAAGCCCTGTAGATGAGGCCTGTAGTGACATGGGTTGAGGGTGGCCTTGGCAGTGCTGGGTTTAAGGCTGGACTTGATGATCTTTAAAGGTATTTTCCAACCCAGTTGATTCTGATTTCAGCCATTACAAGATTGTAAGAGCTGTATGGCATAATTTGGAATTAAAATGCAGGATTTCTGAGCAAATCAGTGCTCAGACCTGAACTACTTTGGAATGACCACGACCATATCCCACAAGTGGTTCAGTGCAGCAGGGTCAGTCCAGTCCCCCTGTCTTCAGCAGGGGATGACACCCTTATCAAGAGCACCTCCTCCACCAGCACAGAGCAGGGTGTCAGCTGAGTGATGGAGCAAAAGGCTCTGAGCAGCCCCATCCATACCCGAGAAGATCAGCTTCTCCTTCATGATCTTGACGTCCCGGCTGGACCGGCGGACAGCAGCGCTGAGCATGATCTGCTCTGGGTTGTAGGTCCTGATGCTTCCGAAGCGCCACCTGCAAGACAAGGGAGATATCAGAGACTGGTCCCCCCCCAACCACAGCAGCATCCTCAGTGCAAGTGGCCACCAACGTAGAGACCAGCAAGTCCCCCAGACCCCTCGCTCCCTTGCACCTACGCAACCCCGCATGGCAGGAGGATGTTTAGAGATGAGGATGTTATCTCAAAGGGGTACAGACATACAAGCAGGCCATCTTTAACCACCTTGAGCACCCTAACTCCACCAAGGACTGCAGATGCCCCAAACCCCTATCACATCAGCTACCCATCTGCCCAAAGGAAGGAGGGCTACTTTGACTCTTAGGGTTGGAAAACGGGAAGAGAACAAGACATCAAACCAAGAAAACATAATGTGTTCCTCATTGAGTGACATACCCATGGCAGGGGTTGGAACTGGATGATCTTAAGGTCCTTTCCAACCCAAACCATTCTATGCAGAAGAGAGCTCAAAGACAAGTTAAGGTCTCAAACCTGAGACACAGCAGAGACACCACCATGAGCTGCTCTGCAGGGAAACACAAGCAGTCCCAATGCAGGGAGCTGGTCACATACAGTGCCTTTAAGTGTCACTTAAGTCTCCCCAAATGTTAAGTCTTTACTTCAATGTTGTTACACAAACCTGCCACTTTTTACGTCTTGGTGAAACTCAGCATCACCTGAAGTTTCCACCATACGAACAATATGAGGCTGGTGGGAACTTGGCTTGACTTAATATTAGCCAGACTTTCATTCTCGTTACTGAACGTGTGTAAAGAGCATTACTGATAGCAACAAGAAATGGCAGCAAATTTAAGGGGAATTTTGCTTTTAAAGCTGTTTTTCAGCCTAAGAGCAGCCCTGTAGCAGACCCTTGGGAGCGTAAGCTGCCGCAATAGGGGAGAACAGGGCTTGGTGGGCTCAGACAACGCAGCCGTTCCCAAGATCCCATTGCAAAGGGATGCTGTTTAAGCCAGGCTTTCATAGCCCACACCCCACCAATTCATCCTCCTCTCACCGAGGAAGGCTTTGAGGTAAACCCCATTCTCCTTGCCACAGCCAGGGATGCTATGAGGCTGTTTGATGAACAGCAACGATTTAAGGTGGTTCATGGGGTTTCTGATCTTCTGGCACCATCTAGTGGCTTCCCCATATAAAAGGAGGTGATTTGTCAAACTATTTCTACTTATTTATTTATTTAAAGGGTCACAACCACCTTCTCTTAAAGTTTCAACTCCCTCCCCAGCCCCCAGGAGCAGAGGGTTTGAGAAACCCCACACATCTCCAGTTTGCATCCACAGCATCAGCCTGACAAAGCAACAGCCACAAAAGAGGTTCTGCACTTTCCCTAGGAAGACCTAGCTGGCATCAATTCCATGGGGTTTCCATCCCCTTCCCAAATCCCATGGGTGACACTGCACCATCAGGCTTTGAGTGGGGTACAGATGAAGGCGGATGCCCTGCTACAGAGAAAAGAAGGGGTGGGATGGCAACACAACACAAGTCACAGACCCACAGACAGAAGCAACACAGAGGAAGCACAAGGAGGCCAAGACATTAAAGTAGAACTAAAAATAACCCCTTCCCAATATTTGTCTTCTATCATAATCTAAACTGAGCCACTCTGACCTGGAAGACTATTTTTACCCTTACTGTCCCATGCAGGTAGATCCCTTTAAGATGAACGTGGTTGCAAGTGCATAGGACCTCACAGGATAAGACCCTCCTTAAACTATAATCAGGGTCAAGTCATATTGCTATGAGTCTTGTCTTTGCCCACCACATCAGGGTTTTCAGCATTAGGCTGGGTAGCACAGCCCAAAGGCATGACGATCTCCTGCCCAGAGGTCCTAGACACCCCATGGAGGACATGGGCCTTTTTGAGGCTCGGACAGCCCAGCCTCAAAGGGGTGCAGGGACCAAGGGCTTTTCTCCTCCTCTCCTTCTCTTATGGTGGCTGCAGTGAGACCCAGGGCAGTTAAATACATACAAGGGGCCAATGACTTCTCATAGGGGTGTATTGCTCTGATTGACCAAGCTAGGAGAGGGTAACCCCATGGTAGCTCAAAATACCACCTTAGAAGAGCCACCAGTACGTTTAACCACAACGCAACTCCAATCAACACCATATGAAAAACCCTCTGCTGTGCTCAGTAGCCTTTGGGTCTCCAAGAAAGCTTGTTTAAGAGAAAACAGCACCTCTCCTACCCCCTTGGGCTCTGTTGTGATCGACCACGTTTAGGACAGCAGCGTGCAAAAAGGCCAGACAGACAGCAGGTAGGTCTTGCTCTGGGAGGTTGGCGTCAAAGCGGACCAGACGGACACGGGGTGGGAACAGACTAAAAAATACTGGGACAACAACACAGAGACAGCACACACTGTGTTAGGGCCACGGCTGGACCCTTGCTTTGGAGGGGAGATGCTAAATGGGGTGGGAAAGAGGGGAGAAAATGGGGTAGTTTGGTACCAAGGTGATAAGATGGAGCGAGCAAAGAGCCAAGCCAGCTGCAACCAGAGTCCCCATCCTGCGATGCTCTTGCCTAAAGCCTGCCCAATTCTTCCATGCCTGTCTTCTACTTATCCATAAGCCAGGGAGCAAAAAGGAGGGGAAAAGGGGAAAACACCCAACCTCCCTGTACCCACAGAAGGGCTCAGCTCAGCCCCATAGCCAGGTCCTGCTTTGGGGAGATGCTTTGAGGACATAACGCTGAGTCCAAGGAACCTCATGGAGCAGGCAATGCAGATGGCCAACCCAACCCCTGAGGCTATGGGTGGGCAGAGGGAAAGGGTCAGATAAGCACAGACAAGGAGAAGCCAAGTCCTCAGGAATCCAACCCCATGGCACACAGCAGAAGGAATGGAGAAGGAAACACATTAAGAGTTTGGTCCCAGTATGGACATGGTGAAGGCTTTACTGCAGGAAAGTGACAGCGCTTCCCTCCAAGGAGAGGAGAAACTCAAACACCGCGTGAGAAAACAGCCAATACAAGGGGAAATCTGGTTTTCCAATTGGTGACACTTCCCATTCACCATCCCAGGCTCATTCTCTTCCTTTTCCTATTTATTTTCACACTGAATTTCCAGTTTCACAGTGGTGTAACTTGAAAGAGACTCAAAGATCCCAAGTTCCGAGTGCAGCAATTGATGAGTCAAACCCTTCCACTATTAACCTTATCAATTCATTCCCAGGGCTAGAGAAGTGCTGCTTTATATACTGAACAAGTTATATTATTTTCTTTGGAAGTGGCCAATTTTGAAGAGGTTGGTGCCAAAACCCACTGGTAAATGCAGGAAGGAAGGGGATGTTTTGCATGGGATCATTTCCATGGAGAAAGCATTATATCCAATGGGATTTTCCCAGTCATGACATGCTGCAGGACCTCAGGATAGGGCTGTTTTAAAAGGCAGCAACTTAGATCATTGCATCAGGTCAGACTGCCTTCAAAACATCCACCAGCTTCATGGCTATGGGCTATGCAATGTTCAGACACCTATGGTCCCCCATGTGAAGGTAGATGTTTGAAAGCATCACAAAAAGCTGTGTCCATCTGCAGTGAAGCCATAGAAAAGAGGGAGAAAGAAAGAGAGAAAGGAAGGTTGAATGGAAAAGAGAAAGAGGAGGAAAGCACCAGAATTACCTGATCATGTGATAGCTGTGAGATGCCAGAATGCAGCAGAGAGAGAAAGAGGAGGAACATGCACAACAGTCAGAGCAGTAAGAAAATAACCAATGCAAAGAGGCAAAAAGAGATCAGTTAGAAGTCATCACAGTTGGTATTCCCCCTTCGGAGAGGCTGCCACGATCCTGTCACCAGGGCTGAAGCAGAAGAGCAGGAGCAATCCCTACCCATGGCTACACAGGAGAGCCAAGCCATGCGTAGGGGAGAGGACGAGCACATCGAAGCGGTGGCTCTGTTCCCACCCACCCCCTCCATCCTTGCATGAAGGAAGCAGCTCTGGTTTGCCCCAAAATTGACTTGGAATAACACAACAAAACAAGAAACCACAACACTGAAGGCCAAATGCCAAACCCCGTTTCCTGGAGCTGAATCACATCAGCAGGTAGTAGTTGGGCAACTCTGATTTGGTTTTGATAGATCCCCAGTACTGCTACCAATGCTTTCATGTGGTGGAGAAACTGCAATGGCATGGAAATGGGTCTGCCCTGCACAAGGCTCTTGGAAGAGCAAGCCTGTTGCTGCAGAAAGTCCAACTTCTAGTACTAGAGTGTCTCCTTCTTCCTCCTGCTTACTTGGGGTTGAGTTCATAGAATAGTTTGGGTTGGAAGGGACCTTTCAAAGGTCGTCTAGTTCAACCTTCAAGAGTTGCAAGGCCAGGTTGGATGGGGCTTGGAGCAAGCTGCTTTAGTGGAAGGTGTCCTTGCTCATGGCAGGGGTTAGAACTGGATGAGCTTTAAGGTCCTTTCCAACCCAAACCAGGCTATGATTCATCCTATGAGCTGTCCTAAGGTAGAGATCCAACATACGACATTCAGCCCTGCTATGATGGACATGGCCAGGCCTCTCTGAACAACTGCCTTTCCATGTGAGGTCCAGAGGCTGGGAGCTCAGTGCTCCATTCTGATGGACCCTGAGGAAAGCTGGGGGTGGTTTCCAGCTCTTCTCACACGCTGAAGGTGGAAGAGAAACCTCCAATAATGCTTCCCTTCCTTATCATGCTTCCTCTTGCCCTACTCCATCAAACCTTTCCCAAACTGGAAGAAATTATGTATGTACAGAGAGGAAAAGACCAACAACTGCAAAGTCCATAGAGCTGTGTCTGCTCCCTCTCTGAGCATGCATCATTTCACTGTGCTCTGAGACCTATAGCTCCCATTCATGAGGTTGAATCAGGTTAATTCCTTCAGCTGTGCTCTCTTGGGTTCCATTCAGGAAACCCTTCTAAAATTGACTATGGGAGGTGATGGAAATGGCTGCAAATATCAGCTTGGCCTTCAAATCCTGCTCTTCAGAGAGGTTATTCCCTGCCTCCAGACTCCTCCCTGCATTGGTGCATCTGACAGAGAAATACAGGGTCTAAAGAACAGGGACATCTCTTATTAAAGCAACTGATGTATTTGAGGGAGTGGAGGAAGCTTCCAGACAACACAGCCCCAGTGAACTTCTAGAGGAGAGGTTTAATGGGCCACAGTTCAGATCACAAGACTACTTAGGAAAGCTTTAATCTCCTCTTAGTGGTTTCATGAACTGCTGGGAAACCTAATCTAATCTGAGTTATGAATCTGCTGCTCACTCTTTTATCACATGCTGGAATGGGGACCTGCTGGGTACAGGTAACAGCGTTGGACTGTGCATTTAGACACCATTATAAACAGATCCAACATGTGGCCTGAAGTCCAACTCATAGAAGGTGCTGGCAGGAGCAATAGCCTGCTGTAACACAGCAAAAGTACATGGGTAATTCTGTACCCAGGGAAGGAAAGAGATTGCTGGGAGCAGATGAACTGGGACAACGTGACAGCAAAATCACTAGCTCGGGAGGCTGGAGCAAATTAAACTGCTGCTGCTAACGTGAAGGCAGTTTGGATCTCAAGACAGAAGGGAAGCGGAGGTCCCTTGATGCCTTCAGGACAGTCGTTTGTGCATGCCAAAGCAGGTGAGATTATAGAGCCAGGGGAATAAGGGATGCAATTTCAGAGTGACAGGGACTGCATCTCTGAGCTCACACTTCTTCCCAGAGAGGGTTATTACCCTGTCACCACTGACAGCTATAATGCCTCCCTAGGAGAAAAGGCACATCACTGGTAGGAACACTGTGGACACCTCCAGTGCAATCAGGAGGAGAGCAGCTTTGCCACCTCTGTTATTAGGAAGTTGATTTACCTCCTCCTGATTTACCACGGTCTGAACTTGTTCTGCCTCTAGGCTTTATGCTCCACGTTTGTTTGCAGGGTCCCTGACTAACAGAGAGGCTTCTGCAAGGCTCTCATCAAATCCTTGCTGTCCCTTTTCTATGGAAAACGGAGAGACTTTCTGTAGGCATCAAACTAAGCAACTGATTTGATTTGCTAAATCATATTTGTATTTCTTCACCCCAGCAGGAACAAACTGATACAAGAAACTTATAGCATGTTCTTTTTGAAGAGTATAATGGTGGAATCTCAGAACATCACCTCTTCATCAGGGACTAGAGCGACAGGACAAGGGCTGATGGGTTCAAACCGAAAAAGGGGAAGTTTAGACTGGATATAACCAAGAAGTTTTTTCCTGTGAGGGTGCTGAGGCACTGGAATGGGTTGCCCAGGAGGTTGTGAATGCTCCATCCCTGGCAGTGTTCAAGGCCAGGTTGCACAGAGCCTTGGGTGCCATGGGTTAGTGTGAGGTGTCCCTGCCCATGGCAGGGGGGTTGGAACTGGATGAGTTTAAGGTGCTTTCCAACCCAACCCAAACTATTCTATGTTTCTATGACTCTTCCTTTAATACATTTTAATCTCTTTCTCAATGTCTATTACGCTGAAGTGTTTAGTTTCTCTCCCACAAGCATTTATGAGTAAAGCAAAGTGTCTACCACAACTACCTTGAGATCTCTCTCTTCCCACAAAGTAGCAACTAATTCCAATTCAATGCCACATCTCAGAAATGGAATTACCGTTTGCAGTCACTCTAAGGGGTTATAACAAAGACTTTCCCTGCTGTTGCAATCCAAGCACCTTTGGAGCACGCTGCTCCTCTCTCCCACCTCCACCCCATGCTCTGAACAAAAGCACATGTCACCAGTAACACGACAATCGAGCTGTAACAATGCTACTTACTTCTGGAATATAAAAACTCCTACAATTATGATAAATGAGATGAGATCAGATGTGATCCAGATCAGGCGGTACTCGTCTGGAGGCTGGAAGACAAAGAACAGAGGCAGAACTTGAACCTTCTGGTTTGTTCAATCAGAGACAGACCACACAATGGCAAAGCTACCACCAGGGCAGAAAGAGCTGCAGGAGTCGCATACAAATCACAACGTTTATGACATTTCTAACATGCATCATCTAAAAATGATGTTATCAGGAAAAGCCACAAACAGGAACAATTTTAAACGCTCCCTCCTTTCTTGTGCTGACATTTTCTTGAAGATCTTAGAGGGCTGAAAGTTTCTATCTCAGCTGTTGCTTGAGGTGAGGGTAAGATGCTGCTGGGAAATTGAAGTCTGTGGGAAAACACGGATGCATACAGACAGTGCACACTGAATCACAGAATCAACCAGGTTGGAAAAGACCTTTAAGATCATGGAGTCCAACTCCTGCCTAGCACTGCCACGGCCACCACTAACCCATGGCACTGAGGCCTCATCTCCATGATGTGTGAACACTTGCAGGGATGGTGACTGCAGCCCTGCCCTGGGCACCCTGTGCCAGCGCCTCAGCACCCTCACAGGGAAGAGCTTCTGCCTAAGAGCTCAGCTCAGCCTCCCCTCGGGCAGGTTCAAGCCATTCCCTTTGGCCTGTCCCTACAGGCCCTTGTCCCAAGCCCCTCTCCAGCTTTCCTGCAGCCCCTTTAGGCACTGGAGCTGCTCTAAGGTCTCCCCTTCACACAGCAGAGGGGCAGGATCCCCTCCCTGAGCTGCTGCGTGGGTGATGCGGTATCATGGGTGATGCGGTATCATGAGAGTGAAGCTAATGAATTTCTCCTATCCCAAACCTGAACTATTCCCAGCCAGGAAAAGGTTACTGACAGATCAATCACAACCACCACCACCATTAAAGCACACAGTAACATTTCAGTACAGACACAGAATACATAATGCATAAAGATGAATTCACACAATGGCAGCGTGATATGGATAAAACCAGTTGGGAGCCATCAACTCCTCTACGTCTGTCTCCCAGCAGAGATCAATGTGGGTTTTTCCCCCCCACTCAGTGAATCTTTGTGTGTCTCAATTTATCCTGTGGAAGTGTACCATGGAATTAGCATGACAATGGTTTAATTAGCCAGTGCTGCTGATGAAGACTTAATACTTGTATTTTCCAGCTGAATTACAGAAGGGTGACATTAAACGTTACATTTATTGGGTCTGTTAAGATGAGCAGACACAAAACTGATGTCTCCTGACATTTTCTAGGCGGGAAAGTGCCATCAGAACTGTTTTGAATGAAAGCTCTGAAGTTTTAAGTTAGAACAAAATCTACCCATCCACATCTTTCATTTATGCAACTGGTATTTCACAACTCAAGAGCCCAAATTGCAGGTTTTCCTGGGGGGCAGAAGCTGGATTTCCTATGACATACCCCAAGCAACAGGTAGACATCAGTTTGCTGGGCAGAGGCCAACATCTGATAAGAGGTGTTCCACATACATATTTTAAAGTCCTGCAGAAATCTCAAAGTTAGAAGGTTTTGGTACCAAATTGAGGTTTTATAACTGACAAAAATGGAATTTCAAGGCGATAAAACGAGGAAAACCACATTTTTCCAAAGATTCACCCTGCGCGCATCACTATTGAGAGTGCCCAGTGAGAAGATGCCTCCCTGGTCCTGCAGAGGGAGCATAGGTCAGCGAACATCTATTGAGGAGGCAACTTGTCCTGCTCCATCCAAAGCAAGGCCTGCTCTGGAATCTCTTATATTCCTCTTGCAATTCCTCTTCTTTAAACAAGGCTGTTCCAGAGGGATTACGTTGGGGCTTTTATAAGCTTTACTCAATATAAGTCCTACTTCTGTAATCCCCCCCTTTGCAGCCCATCAAACCCTTCATCAATTCATAGACTCATAGAATAGTTAGGGTTGGAAAGGACCTTAAGATGATCCAGTTCCAACCCCCCTGCCATGGGCAGGGACACCTCACACTAAACCATGGCACCCAAGGCTCTGTCCAACCTGGCCTTGAACACTGCCAGGGATGGAGCATTCACAATCTCCCTGGGCAACCCATTCCAGTGCCTCAGCACCCTCACAGTAAAGAACTTCTTCCTTATCTCCAACCTGAACTTCCCCTGTTTCAGTCTGAACCCATCACCCCTTGTCCTATCACTGCAGTCCCTAATGAAGAGTCCCTCTCCAGCATCCTTGCAGCCCCCTTCAGACACTGGAAGCTGCTCTGAGGTCTCCACGCAGCTTCTCTTCTCCAGGCTCAACAGCCCCAATGTTCTCAGCCTGACTCAATATGGGAGGTGCTCCAGTTCCTGATCATCCTCATGCAACTGGGCAGAGAGCAACCCAAACCCCTGCTCTGAGGGACTCTCACAGGGGGTCCCATGCTGGGTACTTGCTTACAAACATCAGACTGGGGGCTGAACTCCAGCTCAAGCTTTACAAAGCCCTCCTTTAATGCCATGTTTGATGCTCTCTTCTTGCCAGCAGCTTTCCATCAAGAACAGAGGGAAGAGAGACACTTTTGCTTCAATTTTCCCTCTTGTTTAACTACAGCACAAGTTAAATGTATTTTTGCCATTGCAAATGGGCCCTGGGTGAGTGAAGCAGAACAGCTTTGCACTGTTCAGCTGGTGATAAAGCCCAACAGAGCCCCTGAGGGCGCTGGGCATACAAAGCCTGTAAGGAGCAATGCTCTGTTCCAGGTCCCAAACCATGCCCTGTATGGAAGTGGCTCAGATGGCAAAGTTGGTTAAATTACAGCACCCAGGCACTTCAATATGCAGGAAATCAAGGGATCTTTATGCTGCTGGCGATGTAAGAGTGTGCACTTGCAGCTGAGGGATGAGCTGGTGGGAAACCCCTTAGAGGAGGGCTCCAAGTATCATCAGTGAGGCTGCCAGCTGTGGTGGGGAGCAGATGTTGGCAGCAGCACCATTCACATTATGATAATCTCTGCTGCCAGCAGATTCAGTCTTTATAAAACCATTTCCAGTCTCCAGCTTCAGCACACGCCAGTGTGAGTTTGTGGAGTCAGACACAAGCAGTAGGTTAAGCTGAACATCACGCATGGATGTTCACCACCTTGAGATCCTCCCTCCAGCTAAAGATGCACATAGCTCATCAACATTAAACCGTCCTTATGCTCATCTTAGTCCTCTTTCCCAAGCAGATTTGCCAGAGCAGCCTTGTGTCCTACTCCTGGTAGGATCTCTCAGCAGAAAATACCCCTCCATCACACACATTTACTCCTCTGCAGCTGAGCTCTGGTTTTGGGAATGCTTTGATGCAACTATTCCATCATTCTCTCTCCTGTCCAACAGAGACCCAAGGGTGCTAGGGGTGTTTTCAAAGCATTTACTGGCAATGTGATGGTTTTTCCTTGTCCAGCAAAGGGGTAGCCAGAGGTAAGACTTGGCCCCATTTGGTATTAAAACCAGGTAAAAAAGCTAGTTTTGCAGCTTCACCAAGACACAGAAGCCAGGTTTGCTGGTTCACCGCTACGTCTGATTCTGCTGCAACTCTAACTAACTGGAAATATGCTCTTCCATCAGGAGCAAATGGAAAAATCACGTGGGTTAAATGGAGCATGCAACACAATCTCCAAGAATCCCACACAAACCCTGTACGAGGCCATCGGATGGAAAGGATTGTGGAAGAGGAACACGATCTGTTACCACCTTGGGGTTCAAGCATACAGAGGGGGAACAGTCAAGCACAAAAGCACATTGAACCCAACCAAACCTTTCTGAACAAACCCGATGGAGATGTGGCTGCAGAGGTCAGTGACCACCTCCACATCCCTCCACTGCATCCCATCATTCTTACCATCAGCCAGGTGGGGAAAGGCACCTTGCGAAGGATGTGGGAGCTGTCGGAGGTGACCGACTGGACGCCAGCACACCACAGGATGGAGTACAGCCAGGGCTCATTCACAGTGTAGAGATTCACACTCAGGTTTGCCATGGTGTAGTCCCTGCCAGGAGACAGACAATGGTGAGATGCGAGTCCCCCAGCAAACATCAGACCCTCGTCTCCAAGAGTGGAGCCATTGCCATCAGACATTGCTGTTATCACAGATGTATTGGGTTTGAATTGCTTGGAAGAGGTTTATAACAGAGCAGAGTCACTTCATAAGCAACCCAAGGGCATTGCAAGCAAATGGTTTGAACTTGAGAGGTTTCTTCACCACTTGGATGCTCTCCAACCCAAGCCACAAACCATCAGATACTTCCTTATGAATGATGGAGAGAAGGCTGCATGGAGACCTCAGAGCAGCCTTTCCGTATCTGATGGAGAGGGACTCTTCATTAGGGACTGTAGTGATAGAACAAGGGGTGATGGGTTCAAACTGAAACAGGGGAAGTTTAGATTGGATCTAAGGCAGAGGTTCTTTCCTGTGACGGTGGTGAGGCACTGGAATGGGTTGCCCAGGGAGGTTGTGAATGCTCCATCCCTGGCAGTGCTCAAGGCCAGGTTGGACGAGGCCTTGGGTGATATGGTTTAGTGTGAGGTGTTCCTGCCCATGGCAGGAGTTGGAGCTGAATGATCTTAAGGTCCTTTCCAACCCAAACTAGTCTATGATTCTATGCAGTAGCGCATTGGTGTACCAAAGCACCTCATCACATTGATGTAAAATCCACACCTGGCTCAGATATCTGTAACACTTCATTGGCAATTTGCTTAATTAAAAACTGACAGATGCGTTTCCAACATCAATTCCTACAACTTCCATGCCCTTGTTTTGAGGACAGTTGCAGAGTTTCCAGCTTCCTGAGGTCATTTTCCAAGCAGCTGAAGCCCCAGTCTGCAGTACAGGAGCTGTCAGCAGCAAACCAAGCACTGACAGTGGACAGCTTGTACCCGTACGATTTGCATTAATTACTCTGTCTCCCTCTCTATGCAGCAGAAGCATCACTAATCTCCCTCACACGGGCAGCACAGAGATTAATCCTTGCAATTTAATATCAGCAAAGCACTTGGAGGTGGAAGGGCACTGTACAAGATGTGGACATCTCAGTGCTCACAACATAATCAAGCTGCTCCGAAGGCTAAGGGATGCTCAGGGGTGGTTGTAGTAATGCTACATCCATAGAATCATAGAATAGTTAGGGTTGGAAAGAACCTTAAGATCATCCAGTTCCAACCCCCCTGCCATGGGCAGGGACACCTCGCTCTAAACCATATTACCCAAGGCCTTGTCCAACCTGGCCTTGAACACTGCCAGGGATGAAGCATTCACAGCTTCCCTGGGCAACCCATTCCAGTGCCTCAGCACCCTCACAGGAAAGAATTTCCTCCTTATATCTAATCTAAACTTCCCCTGTTTCAGTTTTAACCCATCACCCCTTGTCCTATCACTGCAGTCCCTAATGAAGAGTCCAGAGGCTGGCTTCTGCATGATTGAAAGAACTGTGTTAAACCAGGGCTTGTTGAGCTCACTCTGGCTTGTGCTGCAGGACTGCAGCAACGCTGATGGGCACCACAAGGATTTCAGAATGGTAGAAACAACCAGGTTGGAAAAGCCCTTTAAGCCCATCCAGTCCATCCCTTCCCCAGCACTGCCAAGTCCACCACTGCCCCATGGCACTGAGGCCTCGTCTCCACAGGGTGTGAGCCCTTGCAGGGCCGGTGCCTGCAGCCCTGCCCTGGGCAGCCTGTTCCAATGCCTGAGCACCCTCTGGGGCAGGAATTGGTCCTCAGCTCCATCTAAACCTGCCCTGGTGCAGCTTGAGGCCGGTTCCTCTTGTCCCATCCCTTGTTCCTTGGGAGCAGAGCCCAGCCCCTCCTAGCTCCATCCTCCTCTCAGGCACTTGGAGGCAGCCATCAGGTCCCCCCTGAGCCTTCTCTTCTCCATCTGAACCCCCAGGTCCCTCAGCCCTTCCCCATCACACTTGGGCTCCAGGCCTTGCACGACCTCCATTACCCTTTTCTGGCCCCACTCCAGCACCTCAATATAGTCCTCTCCTTTAAACAGGATGAAAACTAGGCAGGGATTATCCTGCACTTAAAGCACAGCATTAGTTTTAAGGGTGAAAAGCTAGGCTGATTGCCGGCAGCCATGGGAAAACACCACTGAGTGACACTGGATAGGACCACACACCCAAACAGCTTCAGGCTCAGCTCTTCCCTACTTCCAGCCCAAACATGCTCCCAAATAAACCAGCTCCTTTGGAGGTATTGGGAGGAACCCCACAATGTGCCAATCTCATTAAAGAGGAGACTGGAGCAGTCTCAGTAGATGCCACAGGACTATAATGAAAGGGATGGATAATCCACGATAACAAATTCCTGAAAGCATACCCAGACTTTGGACAAACCAAGATGCTGTGATAGCAACTCTGGAGCAGATGAAGACAAGCAAAGGTCAGGAGCTAATGAGGATGAAACAGCACTTGGAGGTATTTGGTGTGAAAAGCCTTCACTTTTCCCCAGAGCTGACAGGGTAATAAGAACCAGACAATTCCTATGTTTTATTTCAAACAGGATCATCATATAATGAATTAGAATCAGCTCCTGGGAACATTCTAGGTGATGGGTAGGGATAAGCTTGCACAGCTCAAGCTGTCAACAGCACATCCATCTGAAAAGGTACCTCTATGCATAATAAAACAGCCTGGGATGAGCAGAGAAGATGCTGCAGGGCCAGGGATGCAGGAGGATGCTCAGAGCTATGTGGAGCACATGGGCTATCCCACCAGAGGGGCTGTACCTGACATCCTCATTCGTGACCTTGGTGTAACGCAGGTTGAGCTTGACGATGCCCTTCTCCCTCATGCGCTCTGCATCCAGCTTGAGGCCAGAAGTCTGCTGGAAGCCCGGTGCTATGTGTCTGACCAGCTGCCTCTCCGTGTCCGGCAGCCACATCACCTGCAACACAGAGCATGGAAGAGGTGGTTCACGAAGCTCTTCACACGAGGCAGCATCACAGGCAGCCAGTTTACACCAAGCCACAAGCTAAATCACAGGAGGGACTGCCTCGCTTGTCAGACAAATGGTGTAGGAGACAATTACAGCCCCCACATCTTGAATCAAATGCGTTTCAGGTTTATTCTTGAGCACAAAGGATGTGCAAAACTCACTCAGAGATAAAAAGGGTTGAGGTATGAAGGGATTACACCAAGAGCTCATAAGGAGACATGGAGCATCATAGAATCATAGAATAGTTAGGGTTGGAAAGGACCTTAAGATCATCCAGTTCCAGGCCCACCTGTCCTGGGCAGGGACACCTCACATTAAACCGTGTTACCCAAGGCTTCATCCAACCTGGCCTTGAACACTGCCAGGGATGGAGCATTCACAACCTCCCTGGGCAACCCATTCCAGTGCCTCAGCACCCTCACAGTAAAGAACTTCTTCCTTATATCCAATCTAAACTTCCCCTGTTTCAATTTGAACCCGTTACCCCTTGTCCTATCACTGCAGTCCCTAATGAAGAGTCCATCCCCAGCATCCCTATAGGCCCCCTTCAGATACTGGAAGCTGCTCTGAGGTTTCCATGCAGCTTCTCTTCTCCAGGCTGAACAGTCCCAGCTTTCTCAGCCTGTCTTCATATGGGACAGTTCAGGGCACAAGGGACACAAGGCTAAAATTGACAGTGTAGACAGGATCCACAAGAGAAACCTTCCATAACCCCATGGTTACAACTAGTTTTATTCACCCTCTTTCATCAGGGTCTATGTCTACTGCAGCCCAGGGCAAGGATTTCTCTATATCCATTCCATGCTTTGAAAGTATGTCAGATGAATTACTGCTCACAAGCTCAGCTGATGGATGTGAAGTGAATGCAGGAACCAAGCTGGGCAGTGTCGGTGTTCAAGGCCAGGTTGGACAGAGCCTTGGGTGCCATGGTTTAGTGTGAGGTGTCCCTGCCTATGGCAGGGGGGTTGGAACTGGGTGATCTTAAGGTCCTTTCCAACCCAAACTATTCTATGATTCTATGGCTTGTGCCATGCAGAGGCTGGGCCCAACCTGATGATCTCTGCAGAATCACTGAGCACCACATTGCTTGTTTAATAATCTAGTGACACTCATCATAGAATCATCATAGAATTGGTTGGGTTGCAGGGACCTTAAAGCTCCTCCAGCTCCAACCCCTGCCACAGGCAGGGACCCCTTCCACTGGAGCAGCTTGCTCCAAGCCCCTGTGTCCAACCTGGCCTTGAACACTGCCAGGGATGGGGCAGCCACAGCTTCTCTGGGCACCCTGTGCCAGCGCCTCAGCACCCTCACAGGGAAGAACATCTTCCTACTATCCAGCTAATGCCTAGTTGGGTCCTTCAGGGCCCCTCTCAACACTTGCCTGCCCTCACAGGGAAAGCTCATTTCCATACGCAGCAGGAACACCTCCCATTCCAGTTTATGACCACTGCCTCCCGTCCTGACATGAAGCTCAGTGAAGAGCTTCAGTCCAACTTCTCAACAACCTCCTTGCTGGTGCTGGAGAGACCTAATAGCAGCTCTTCAAAGTCTTGTCTTTTCCAGGATGAAGAGACTCAGTTCCCTCAGCGCTTCTTGCTATATCCAACCCCCTAACCCAGCTGGTGGCCTCTGCAGGTCTCACCCCAGCTTATCGGCCAGGTATCAGTGAACCCTACATTGAACACGATTGTTGAGTAAGGGGAATAATCACTTCCCTCCATCTACCAGCTATACTAACATTAGTACAACACGCTATCAAGGCTTCTCACTACCAGGGTATATTGCTGCATTAGCAGTCACCTTGGGTAGCTTTCAGAGGTCCATGGTAACCCCAGGTTCTAGGGCCACCAGCATGACTTCCCAGCACAGGGTGGCATTTCCAATTAAGTCTCCAAAATGGATCCCACCAGCCTTGATACCCAAATGAAGCCACTCAAGGATTCAGGGAAACCCATAAGGAGGGCAATTTTGGGACCATACCCAACCTCACGGAACTCACAGCCTGCTGCCGAATTCCCGATGCCAGGATGGTTTCCAGGGTGACGTTGATGTAAGTGCTGTAGTAGGGATGAGCTGATGGCAAGTTCTGGAAGTTCAGGATGAGCGATGTGTTGTCCTTGATCACCTCCAGCATATCTGCCAGCTTGCAAACCGACTGGTTGGCCGCTTCCAAGTAGTCAGACCTTGAGAGAGACCCGGCCGTCCAGAAGGGGTCATTCTGGAAGCAAAGCACGTCCCAGTCTTAGTGCCATGAACTCCACACTACCCCAGTACAGGTGAAGGGCCTTTTCTACCCCACCTTGGCAACACTGGGCCACATGGACAGCTACTGCTGGTGTTCATACTGCAGCTCACTCAAGTATTTCTCTGTGCCTCAGTTCCCCTACATAAGGAGAAGTGGCAGATCCTTACTGAAAGCAAGGTGTTCTGGACAGGTCACTGCATTTCCAGAGGAAGAGCAGAGCTATAGGGCAAGTAATGTCATTTTCCATGGTAGTGAACTCAAACTGTACTTTCTCACACCATGTTCACAGTCACCAAGTGACCAGAGAGCAGCTAAGGGCTGTTAGAATAGATGGGCTCCTGTCTTAAGGACATTCAGGAACATCAACATCAAAGCACATCCCAAAAAGTATCCTTCCAGAGCGTGTTTTGGCTCTTCTCATTTGGCAAGGAGCAGTTTCCCTGCATTCCCACAACCACATGTGCAAGTTTCTGTGCAACATACCATATAAACATCCCCATCACACCTCCAGATCAGCTCAGATCAGAATGGCCATGAAGCCATGGTGGAGACAGGCTTCTACCGAGCAAGGACCCAAGCAAGTCCAAGCAGGCATAGAAAACCAGTACCTGCAGCAATGCCTCAGCAAGCCATGTTCAAGCTTACATTGGAAGGGACCTTAAAGCTCATCCACTTCCAACCCCCGAGTTTGAAGGTCCCTTCCATCCCACACTGGTCAGGGATTCCATGATGCTTGGCTCCAGGACACCCTCTCCATGGCCATACGCACCCGTAGGAACCACTCTCCAGCATTGAGCTTTTCCAGGTCAGTCCAGTTGAACATGGAGGAGTGCTCGTAGGCCCGCTCTGGAAACACTTCCTCCACGTTTGTTGTTCTCCTGAGTGTCTTGTCGTGCATCAGAAACGGCACTCCATCATAGCTGCAAAGACAGGCAGAAGGCCCTATTACAAGGTTAGAAGACACAACCATGTACACGGTACTAGATAAATACCTGTTCCCACTCCAGCTTCACATCACAATCATTGTGAAGATCTCAACCAACTCAACACATCCCCAGCAGCCTCAATATCCATTGATGCACCCAGAGGGAAAAGCCTCTTAGATACCTGCTAGGTGTTTGCAGTCATTCGTACATTGACTGACCCCATCCATCTCTAGATGGCTACTAGAGTGCCAAACTCTAGTAGCTTGGACAAGAACATCCACTTTGAACACTCACATGAACCAAAGCTTTCTGCAGGATCTGTGGCTCCCAATATCAGAGGTTTTCCATACCCTGCTTGCACAGACACACCCCCAATCTATTCCCAAATTGCTAATAGTAGATGATGAGAAAGATTTCAGAGGCTCTCACACTACACAGAACAAAGTGGTGACAGGCTTTCAGCAAGATGCAAGGGTTCCAAGCTACCAAAATGGTTCTGAAATTGCCTCTTCCCAGTTGAAAATGGGTTTCAGGAAGCACCACACTCACGCAAGTCCATGCATCTGAAAGAAATCCCACCTTTCAGATGGAACTAAAGAGCCAAATGCATGTCCTGTGGTTTATAAGCCATGCAGATGGCTTAAAAATGGTTTGGGGAAGCCAAAAGAGCTCTTTAAGCTTTCTTCCACTCCATTTTCTGTGATTGAATTAGTGATAACACTAGATAGGCCAGTGATGGTTTCTATCCAGGGCAGGGGAATGTTGTCTGCACTCAGAAATCAAGATAAACCCAGCCTGATTACAAGGACATTTTCCTAAGCAAGGAACCCATCTTCATCATGGGAGACTCAGATAAGGTCTGGAAATGAGATAAGGTTTCAATGCAAACCCAACCTGAATGAGGAGCCAAGTCACAGCACTCAATCCCAGAGCCAGAAGGAAAACATCACTTGTAGATGATGGAGCAAATGCTGCCTCTGCTTCACCATTGCCTGCAGAAGTCCCTTATCACAAAGGTCACTGGCATCTTTGCTTGCTATTTCAAGCATGCACTGTGCTGATTTCCTCCCCAACCCAAAGCACCATGCTGACACAGCAATACCATGCTCAGCAGCACACTGCACTGCTGCAATCACAAGGGGCTTTAATAAATACAGTTAAAAAGAAGAAAATAAGCTAAGCAACTGCAGAATTAAAAGTGTGGAGTGTTTAAGTGAGATAGGAGCTCAAGTCTTAGCATCGCATAGCAGAGCATCGTCAGATACTGTTAAGCCTTAACCGCAGCGTGGAAAACCTATGGGGGGACTTCACATTTGCTCCTTTCCTTTCTAATCCTTCCCTTTACAGAGTCACTCAGCACTACTCAAGTCTAACCACAAGCTATTACAGGCACAGATTGGCTAAAAGTACTTCAGAGACAGAAATCAGAGCTTTAGAAGAAGAGATGTGAGGGGAGGTAGAGGATAAGAGGAACACACAGGGATGCTGTGCTGCTGCTTGAAGCGAAGTTGGCTTTATAACCATGGCCACCCAGTTTAATGTCTGTAAGGAGCAGGATGTGATGGGTCTGAGTGCATGTCCGAGCAGCTCACCCATGGCAAATACATGCCTAGAAGAACATGGAGACATCCCAGGAGGGATATCCTGGACCCATCCAGACACAGGCACAAAGAGCATCTCTCAATGGGATAAGGAGAGCAATAGGTCTTGTGCCACAAGCCCTTCCCAAAGCTGATGCCAGCTGTATGGATAACTCACTTTTTGGTCTGAAGGTCAATGGAGTCCTCTTTTTATAGAGTTCTCCTTGAGAGGGCCTCAGATAACTGGGCCATCAAGAGCATTAAGCTATGGATGCTTGGAGTGCTCCTCTGGGATAGCTGATGAGTGGCAACAGGGAAAGCTCTTGGAGCTTTTCCAGCTCTCCTCCTCCCAGAAGTCCACTTTCCTCCTTGGCCTGAGCTAATGGAAGCAACTGATTCAGCCACGTGAGCAAAGTGCTTGTCTGGGCAGGCAAGCAGTTGTCCCTTCACAACTGTTAATGAACTAACTTTGGAAAGAACAGGAATTGCATCACATACATCCCAATTCACACTTCATCCTTCCACAGCGACCTTCCGCTCCCAAGTGGGAAGAAATTACTTTACTTTTTGTTCTCAATTATACAAAGATAAAAATAAGCCACATAACATTTAACCTTCAGAAGCCCATCTTCCACCAGGCAAAAAGATCTTTCCATCAACACCAACCTCTAAAGTGGTCAGGGAAAAATAGGAGCTTTGAGGCTTTCTTGTGTTGATAACTGGAACTGAAAGAAACTGAGGAATCAAGGGGTGATGGGTTCAGACTGAAGCAGGGGAAGTTCTGGTTGGATACAAGGAAGAAATTCTTCCCTATGAGGGTGGTGAGGTGCTGGAACAGGATGCTCGGAGAACTGGTGAATGCTCCATCCCTGGCAGTGTTCAAGGCCACCTCAGACAGAGCCTTGGGTGACATGGTTTAGTGTGAGGTGTCCCTGCCCATGGCAGGGGGTTGGAACTGGATGAGCTTACGGTCCTTTCCAACCCAAACCAGTCTGGGATTCTGTGATCACCAAGATAAGGCATTACAACTCCCTTCGTACCACTTATGCCCTCTTGCACATCCATGTAGTTCATTCAAAAAACACAGCTCAGAAAAGGAATGAGAGTATTAAAGAATGATCAGACTCCTGGAACAGTGAACAGATCTTGAAATAACCCTCACTAAATCTCACTAAATTGGCCTTGTCTTCCTGCAAACGAAGATGAGTTTCATGGCAAAGGTGTCCAGGTTCTTCCACCTGGACAACTTCACCTTCAATCATCATCTCAAGGAAACCATTAGCATCCTCTGTGCATTACAAATGGAGACACAGCTAGGAGTTATCAGAGGTGTTCACCACGAGAGCCCTCTTCAATGGGGAAAAACCAGACACAAACCAGATAGGAAAGACCCATCTGCGTGGATTGGACCATCCATTGAGAGTCTCAGACCGAAGAGCGCACTGGCTTACCTCAGTACAACATCAGCTTGGACTCCATACATCTTCTGCTCCACTGCCTTCTGGAAGGACATCAGAGTGTTTTCTGGTGCCAACTATGGGGGGAAGTAAAAATTAATAGCAGAGAGTTTATGAAGTAGTGGATGCTGAGAGGAAGGTTTAGAGATACTAGGGAGCCAAGACAATCTTGGTTTGCAGACTCCATAGCAGCCAGTTACACTGGAGTACCAGCATCCCTCAGGCAGGATTGCATCTTACTGAAGTCTGAAGATGACCAGTGCATTTAATTCCATTGATGGTCTTCTCACACAGAGAGTTCAATGCAGAGCTATTATAACCTGCAATACCAAAAACCCATGAGCTCAAGGTCTGGTGCAATGTTAGTGTATGAGAGATTTGCTCACCAGCATGGTTCCCAAACAGTGGCTTGCTGGAGATCCCCATGAAGCAGTTGTTAATGTGATGCCAATTCTCTATCCATGGGCTATATCTACAGCTATTAAAATACCTTAACAGTTCTTCATTCTCCTACTGTTCTACGTAAACAGTGATTACAATACCATTATAGCAAGAAGAAAGCCCATAAACCAGAGTATTATCCATACCATGGAGAACAACTACAACAAGGGTTCTGTAGCATGCTTTATTTCCACATCTACTCATTCAATCAAGTATTTCTCAGTCTCAAAATCAGATCATTCTTCTAATAACAAATGGTCTAGTTAGTTTAGCAACTAGAAAAATAGCTTTAAGCCTTGAAAATGTATACCCATGGCTATCGTGGATGAGGACTCAGAACTTAGCTCGTATTCCACCCTGTGGAATGGAGCAGATGGTAACAAGATTTGGGTTTGGTTAAAAGCAACACAGTGTGAAAGCAAACACTTTGGTTTTCTACAAACCAATACAGTAGCTAGCCCCAAAATAGCCATAAACCAATACCAAGCACACCAGATACAAACCACCACAACTATGGAGGGAATAACTGGCAAGTTTTCTGCACTGAAACACAAGCACATCAAAATAAAGCTAGTTTTAAAGCTTTTCTGGTTTCCAATTTGCTTTCAGGCTTAGGGCACCTCTAACCCCATTTTCCACCCATCTCTGCGCCACCAGCATCAGTAGGTTCCCATCAAGACACAAGGAGCATTCACAAGCCATGATTTTTATGGGGTTCGGAAGAGGAATAATTAGAACTAAGGCCTAAATACACCATGAAACATGCACAATAAAAACCTGCTCAAGAGTTTAAGGTGTCTCTTGTTCTTTATAAGCTGATCACCTTCAGTGCTTGGGTCAGCAAAGCTTTAGGGTACAGTCATCAGACCAAATGTCAGCAACAACCTTCGCATAGCTCCGGTATCTCCCCACTCAATTCCTCTGGCTTAAGCCACCATCAATACTGGTTCATTTCTGTTTGTTCCAAGGCGACACAGAGCCACGTTATCTTCCCAGAAAGGCTCCCAGTCAAAGCCTGGCTTGCGTAGGTGAAGACAGAGTCAACAGCCCCATCACACACACTGGTACAACCCAGCGCCGGGTCACACAAGGTCGGCCTAAAAGAGCTTGTTGCAGTATCTGCACGATGCTCAGAGCTGTCAGCAGGGAGCAGCAGCCACAAAGATCTGAAGATCCCCTCCGATTTGCTCTATCTCCTTGGGTTGCTTTCAGCATCTTGGGCTTCCCCTTCCAAGTAGCTCAAGTTCCCTCGGGATAACAGGGCAAGGTGATGCCCTCTCCACAGGGTAACGCCAATGTTGGCTTATGGAGACGGCAGCAATCACAGGGCAATAAAGTGAGTAGTCTTTAAACAATGGAGAGCTGAGCTAGGGAAACCACAAGACCACCAGCCTGTCAGGATGATGCTGGGTAGAAGCAACACAAGTCCATAGGATCACAGAATTGACCAGGTTGGAAAAGCCCTTTAAGCTCATCCAGTCTAATCATTCCCAGCACTGCCAAGGCCATCACTGCCCCATGGCACTGAGGTCTCATCTCCACGGTGTGTGAACACTTGCAGGGACAGTGACTCCAGCACAGCCCTGGGCAGCCTCTTCCAATGCCTGAGCACCATTTCTTTACATGACTTAATGATCTATCAGGTCTTTTCCAGCCTAATTGATTATATGATCCTATAGTAGTGATGTTCATGCATGTAACACTATAATACAGCCTGCAGTGAGCCAAAAACTGAGACACTCACTGAGTTTTAAAACCCAGTGCACTATAACAGTCCCATCATCCTCAGCACTCAAGTCAGTTGCTACTGAGCTTACTCCATGGAGTTAAAGTGATCCCAGCCCCAGGAGTGGAGTATTCCACTCCTGCCTCATCTCTAGCCCCTACAGAGCTTTCAGAGCAAGCTTCACTGTTTAGTAAGGGTGAAACTTAACTGGATCCCTGAATGGGCTGCGTGTGGCTGCTCAGATATGAGGCACATACATCTATTCCTTTCCCAGGAATATAACACTAAATGAGAGATAAATAAACCTACAAAACTCTGGCCAGACACGGGTTGGAAATGCAGCTGTGCAGAGGAAACAACATTTGAAACCGTTCTATAGGAACACACACTTTGAAGCTGTAACAACACAGAATCCCAGCCTGGTTTGAGTTGAAGGGACCTTAAAGCCCCTCCAGCTCCAACCCCTGCCATGGTCAGGGACCCCTTCCACTGGAGCAGCTTGCTCCAAGCCCCTGTGTCCAACCTGGCCTTGAGCACTGCCAGGGATGGGGCAGCCACAGCTTCTCTGGGCACCCTGTGCCAGCGCCTCAGCACCCTCACAGGGAAGAGCTTCTGCCTAAGAGCTCAGCTCAGTCTCCCCTCGGGCAGGTTCAAGCCATTCCCCTTGGCCTGGCCCTACAGGCCCTTGTCCCAAGCCCCTCTCCAGGTCTCCTGTAGCCCCTTTAGGTACTGGAAAGCTGCTATATATAAAACATATGTTTATATTGTACTTGAAGTTTCCCTTTTTCCCCCCTTTAGGATTTTATGTATATAACTTCAACTATGAATTGCATAAGCTTCCAGTACACATCTATGACCATTTCTGATGACACAGTACTGATCTTGCATTCATAGTTTAGATATCACACTTGCACTGCAAACTTCCACATATGGCTGGCTCATCTTCATGGCAAGACCACTGGAAGTGAAGAGCATCACAGATGGATGAACATCTCTGTCTGCTCTGAATCAGCAAAGAGCACAGATGTCAGCAGAAGCACTCTCCATAATGCCATGCCCTGTGTGTGCTGGGCAATCTCTATAACACCACAATGCTATTACTTGGCAGCCTGATTCCCTGTGTGTCAGAAGCTTTTGGAAAGTAGATTATATGTAAGCCTCACAGGCAAAGACGTCATCTTCTTGGGAGCATGTGGTGGGTAAGCTCCTAACCTGGCCAGAGCCACTTATCTTGATATAAATAATAGCATCTCCAAATGAGTCCATCATTGATGCAGAAAGCTGCCCTCCCTGCTTTCCAAGCCTCTTGGTCAATCCTAGCCTTGAGGGGACTGAACAAGCCACTCACCAATGAGTGAGTAACCTAGTAAAGGTCAAGCAGAAAGCAGTTTTAACCCTGTCCCTATTCCCAGAGGTGCGCCTGGCACTACTTTGGAGGCAGGATTTCTCTGTGCTGGGGGTCCATATCCCCTGCAATATGAATCTATTGTGAAAAGGGAAAATCTGGGATGTATTTCCATCATCCCAGCCTGTTTCCCTACAAGAAGGAGGGAGTGAAGCCCCGGATCAGCATGTTTTAAGTCGAGATGCAGCCAAGTGGGACAGTTGCTGGCACAGGAATTACTTGCTGAATGTTAAGCTTTTGTTAAAGGGCTTCACAGCAAAACTGCAATAACTATAAATAAATGCATAATTTTCCTGTTTAGATTACTCTCTGGCTCCCTCCAGTTTGTTTTATGGGTTTCCTCCTTGATCCAATACATTCTAGTGTCTAAAACCTAAACCCAGGTTTGCATCAGTGCATTGACTGGATGCAATCAATTACTAAAGTAACCCAGTGCTGAAGGGAATGAAGCCCTGGGACACGATGCAAGGATTTCACCCCAAAACCTCTCTCCTATGTACACCACACCAACACCCACTGCAAGCCAGACAGACCCTGTGCAGGGTTTCTAGTGGCTGTTCACACTTGGTTTGATAGGCTCATCCCTTGCAAAACTCGGGTTACTTTCATTGCTTTCTGCTCACAGAGACACAGCAAGTGATTTCTAGAGACCTACCCATGAATTGACTCATTCTAACTATTTTTATGCTTAGAAGTCAATTGCAAGTGTATTCAAATGGAGTCGAGAGCTTTGGACCTTCCTTAATGAAGATTATAGCGTGCTAGTAAGGGCAGGGGAGCCTTGCCAGAGGTGGACATCACTACACTGTGTTTCTCCTTTAGTTAGCCAGGCCTTCAGAAACCACCATCACAAATCACTGCATCATTTGTTGGGGATGCTAACGAAGAAGCTTGCACAGGAGAACTGAATTCATTCCCCTGCATGGTGTGCTGTGCTGCACTAAAGGATTTGATGCTCGCTCCGTCAACAGGCTTTAAAGATACTTTCTCATCTTCCTGTAAACACGAGCATTGTTTTCAGTGTTCTCATGTTCTTTATCTCTCCTTTCCAGTCTCAATCTCATCGTGAGACAATAACTGGGCTGATAACACAAGGTAATACCTGGAAAATTGAATTTTCCTTCCATAAAAAGACATGCTTTGGTGTTCCCTGTATGGGGTGGGATCTGCCAGGAGGCTGGATTTCAGCGTTAGTGTCCCATCATATCAGGTCTCTATGAGGCAATAACAATACTGTTTAAAACAGAAAATGAAATATGTCTTTAACCCCCAGGAATTCAAGGTATTTTAGAGGAAATCCTCATCTACCGTTTCTGGGAACAGCTCAAGTAGACCAAAAGGAAGTGACAAGAGCACAACACAAAAAGAGAAAATGAAAAAGGATTGCTTTGGGCAACAGGATGCATTCATAAGCAGAAATCCCAGACTGGTTTGGGTCGGAAGGGAGCTTAAAGCTCATCCAGTTCCAACCCCTGCCACGGGCAGGGACCCCTTCCACTGGAGCA